CCAAAGTCCTTTTGTATACAAGGGGTAAATAGTGATACACTACTAGAGACCCCATAGACTGCCCAATCCTCCTAACTAATATCCACATTCAGGGGGTCCCACAGCATATCTTCTTACAGCATCAACATAACTGGCCCCAAACAGCCTAAGGCAAACCTACTGGAGAGTGCTCAGTCCTCATCTTGCCTTTTTCAGCATTTCCCAGTGTGAGTGCATTCGGGTTCTTGAAAGGTGTCCTTCATGGAGGGTGGCCTCGCCTTCCACTTGCTCTTCCCTACTGGTCTCACTTCCTTTAGTCCTCAGAGTAGTGGTGAGCCAACACTGCGCTAATAGTTGGTTCAGGCTCCATATCTGTACATGTTGACTGAACATTGTTGCTCACAAGTTTATCTCCAGCCACGATTCCTTTCCTGAACACTAGGTTTCTGCATCCAGTTGCATTTCTTCCAGATTTTTCCACATTCACGTTTTACCTTGCTTTAGTTACTACCACAAGCATACCCTTTCAAGAGCTGTTCCGAGTACCACAGTTTATAGGAAGCCTTACTCATGACTCTGTGTCCCTCCCTCTTCCCCTTTCCCTAAAAGGCTGGCCTTGTGTTCTTAGGCCTTCTATTTCAGTACCATTCTACACTATTTTGGACACTGAATTGATATTCTTAAATCAAAATTTTGTAACCAGTGTAAGGAGGAAAATTGGAGTGTTATATTTTATCATTAACTGAAATCTCTTACTGTAGTGAATTGATAAAAGTGAAGTGGTAAAAATAAACCAAATGGGCAGAGCTGTGTGTGTGTGTGTGTGTGTGTGTGTGTGTGTGTGTGTGTGTGTGTGTGTCAGAAGTATTAAGTATGCCTGGTGGTGGTGGTGTTTAATGTTTAATCCCAGCACTTGGGAGGCAGAGGTAGGTGGATCTCTGAGTTCAAGGTCTGCCAGGTCTACAGAGCTAGTTCAGGGCAGGCTCCAAAACTACAGAAAAACTAAGGCTTTTTAAAAAAAAAAAAAAAAAAAAAGTGCTAAGCATGGGAATGACTGAATGAAAGTGTTTAAATGAGGATTTTTCCTGCCCTCCCTCCAAGTGGTTCTGTGGTATCCTGAGAACCTACGGTCTCATCCATGTTAAGCAAATACCCAAGGCGTGCCTTTTCATCTAACTGAATAACATTTGAAGAAATAAAGGAAGAATTTGCAAACGAAAGGCAGTCCCTCATGTGGTCATCAATCTCTCAGCACTAAAGTATAGCTGCTTTATCTTGCCTCTCTTTCTCTGCACAGGTCAGGCCTACCGTAACTAGAGAGGATAGACCAAGCAAAATTAGCTCTTCTAGAGTCAGAGCTCCAGCAGGGAGGCAGCCTGACTTACATATCAATTCCTGAAACAATAACAAAGGCAGATCCAAGTGGAGATGGCAGGCTTCAAGTATCTGAGCCTTAGCCAGTAAGAACATAAAGGAGGGTCAAATTTGGAAATTTATGGGTGTAGGTTCAAGCAGTTTGAGTTGCAGAGTACATGTGACTCATAAGGAAAATTGCCTGTCCAAGAAAGATAGAATAATAGGAGGAGAAGAAAAAAGAATGGAAGTGGGGATGGCAGGGTAGAAGGAGAAGCAAATCGGAAAGACTAGTTTTTTGGATGCCTAGAAGAATTCAGAATTGGCCACAAAAGAGTAAAGAGAAAAATGGATACATCAGAATCCTAGCAGGTGGTCAGGGGAAGGGAATCAATCGCATTGGCAACAGCAATTCCAGTCTTCTTGAATGGGACACCTTAGTCTTTCCTAGGTTTTGTTGTTAATAAGCAATGTTATAGTGAGTGGATTTTAAGTAATTAAAAGGACTGAATTGGTACCTCCTTAGGAAAGTTTCGACAAGTTCTTTTACAGAATTATGGTGTGAAGTACTTCTATGGAAGCACTGTGAGAGGCTGATGCTGGTAGGAGCTGGTATGTAAAGACAGTGGTCAGTATGTGCTGTGTTCTTCGGGGGATGTGCTTAGCATACAGAGCAGGAAACTAAACAGAGCCAGCATTCTTGCTGAGCGTGTTCCTGTCCTCTGTGTGTGCTAAAGTTCAGGATTGTTCCTGTTGCCTTGGTCCTCACAAGTTTGAATCTCAATAATAGCTGTGCCATATTCCTGCTGCTTTATTTCTCTTAGGAAATGTACTATTTTAAATTTCAAAACAGCAAAGTTTTTTTAGTTTTGAGATAATTTTATACTATAGCAGAAGTTAAAAATAAAAATGTAATTTTAGCAGAAAATTGATTATGCATTATAATTCCATACTCTGCTTGCTTGTGATAAAACATAAGAAATTTGTCCTATAGTTACAGTTTTGTCTGTGTATTTTCTCTCACACTGGTATCCCCATTTGATAGCTTCAGAAAAAAAACAAAACAATAGCTCATGATTATGTGAAATTAAAAAAAGGATAGACTTGGTCTTGTCACTCACTTAAACTTTTGCTTGGGGAAAAGAAGATAGAATTATTTCTTTATGGACATTTGATTCTTTTTTTTTTCCCCCGAGACAAGTCTCACTCTAGTCCAGGCCAGTCTAGAACTGTGTCCAAGCTGGCCCTGAATTTAAAGCATCCCCCCCCCCCCCATCTCAGCTTCCCAAGTGTCGGAATTGTGGGCAAACAGCACCAGGTCTGGCTTTTGTTGCACATTTATTATATTGTATGTTACTAAGATGCTTATATAAGTTGAGAATTAAAATTAATAAAAACCTAAATAAATAACACTATTTAAAAATGGTGTTTGAAACTTATATTTTATATGTGTCTTCTATGTCATAGACACATAGTATTTATTAAATATGATATTTAAATGTTCAAACAAGCTTTCAGAATAAGGGGAAAAAATAAGGGCCTTGGTTCAGCCTCCTGAGTAACTGCAACTACGAGTTTGTACCATAGTGTCTAGGCTTAGTATATTGATAGCACATACTTAAAGGTTTAAAAAAAATTTTTTTATATGAATGAGTGCATTGCTTTGTATGTCTTCCATACATATAAGTAGGTGCCTATAGAGGTCAGAAGAGGGAGTTGGATCCTATGAATCTGGAGTTATAGACTACTGTGAGTTGCCATGTGGGTGTTGGGAACCAAACCCTGGTCATTTGGAAGAGCAGCCAAGGCTATTAATCTCTTCATCCCATAATACTATTTCTTGATAGCATTTCTTTGTTTATCTTTAGCCAGCAGTTTCACTGTGCTGCTCTGGCCAGTCTGGGATTTACTATGTAGACCCAGGCTGGTCTTGAACTCAGATGTGCTCACTTTTTGCCTTCTGAGCACAGAGATTAAAGGTGTGTGCCATCATACCTGTCTTTATACTTAAAGTAAAGAGAGCACCTCCCATTTTTTTAACCCTTTTTAAAATGGGCATATGAGATGTGTATGTTTGTGTGTGTGAGAGAGTACAAGAGTGTGCTACAGCATGAGAGTCTCTGTTGTATCTTTGTTCACGGCTGGTCTTGAAGCTTCCCGGTATTCTGCTGCTTCTGCTAGAGGCACTGGGGGATTAGACACTGCTATCTCACCTGGCTTTCTTTCCATGGGTGCTGGGATTCACACTCAGATCTTCACACTTGCATGGTGAGCAGTTTATCTGCTGAGCTATATTCTATTCCTTGTTACTTCCCCCCCCCATCTATTGTTGAACACCACTATTGTTCAGAGTGCTGCAGTAGACACTGATGAGCAAATGTCTCTGTGATGTGTCATCTGGGAGTTTTGTTTTGGTTTTGGTTTGGTTTTTTGAGACAGGGTTTCTCTGTATTGCTTTGGAGGCTGTCTTAGAACTAGCTCTGTAGACCAGGGTAGCCTCGAACTCACAGAGATCCGCTTGCCTTTGCCTCCCGAGTGCTGGGATTAAAGGCATGTGCTGCCATCACCCTGTTCCTTGGTGTTATTTAACAGTTTCAGTAATGAGGAAAAAAAGAAAGGGCATAGTAAACATTTTCAAGTGCGCCACATTAGAATAGTTGCTATATTGGATCTTCATGGTGACTAGCATAAGTGTCAGGAAGATTTTCCTGCTGCTATAGAAATAGTAAAGGAACTGTCATCAGTGATTCACCAAAAAGTGTAAAGTAAAAGTAATGAGATGGCTCAGCAGGTAAAGTTACCTTGCAAGCCTGATAACTCTCAGTTCAGTCCCCAGCACCCATGTAAAACACCTGCAATCCCAGCAATCCTACAATGGAGATAGGAGATAAGTGTTCAGAAGTTTGGGGTCCAGTTAGGCTGGAGCATACAAGGAAGTACTAGAAATATCAGAGACCCTGCCTCAAAAAGGTGAAAGGAGAGAACCAAAAAGTTATCCTCTATACATGTGCTGTGGTATATGTGTGCTCTTACACCACACACACAATAATAACAACAATAGTAATCATAGTAAAGAAAATATGAGTAGTGGTTCAGAACCAAAGAAACACTAAACTTTCTCTGTGTAGCCCTGGCTATCCTGGATCTCACTCTGTAGACCTCTGCCTCCCAGTGCAGGAATTAAGGGTGAGCGCCACCACTGTCTGACTATAATTTTTATTTCTTGAGATAAGTTCTTAATGTCTTTTACATTTAAAAAAAAAAGTGTGTGTGTGCGCGCGCGTGCATGTAGGAGTCAGAAGACAACTTTCAGGAGTTGGTTCTGTCCTTCTACCATGTGGTTCTGAGGATTGAACTCAGGTTGTCAGACTTGGCAACAAGTACTTTTTCTTGGTAAACCATCCCACCCTAGACAAGGACCTGCTATGTTTTAAGGCTGGCCCAGAAGTGGCCTTGAAGCCTTTAGCCTTCTGCCTTACCTCTCCAGAGCTGGGACTGCAGGCAAGTGTTGATGTATCTGACTTTCAAAACCCTCATTTTAAACACAGAAGGTAATAGATGGAGCTATAGCCTAAAAAATAGTATAAACCAAAAATACAGATTTGCTAACACCAAGTAAAAACATACTTTTTTTTTTTTCTTCTTTTATAATCTTTTCCTCTACCCAGGTCAGCCATAGTCCTGAACCTCTGAAGGCTATAGAACAGGAGGTGAGAAGGTGATTCAGAACATTTTGCAAAAAGTAAACAGAAGAGATTAACTATTGGTTATTTTTTCAAACTGCTATTCTCCAGATGTCACAATTTGGAAGACTATTGATGTTATTCTCTGAAATACAGAAGAAAATAATTTACAGTGGTTGCCAGGGCTTTTCTGTGACTATAATTTGCTCCTCCTTCAGAATAAACATTTTGAAATGTAAAAAATGTAAGTGTATTCTATGAAAATTCAGTTTGCTTCCATTTATCCAACACTGGGTAAGAAACTTGGAACACATCTGTGGCTTAGGGCAGGGCATGCATAGCTTATATAGCCTTGAGATCAGCCCAGGGTGTCATTTTTACCAAGGGCTACTTCCCCAGCTTAATCGTTTTTCTTGAGCTCTGTTCAGGGCCTCATTCAACTTTGTTCCTGGAACAACTGTAAAAAAGTATGTTGCATATCAGACTTGAAGTGCTCTAGAAGACTGTTCATGGTCCGGGTCAGCAGCTTACCCAGGTCCATGGAGGCCCCTCAGTGAGTCAGGTCTTCTTACAGAAATATCCTCAAGGTTAGAGCATTCCTGCCTTCCCTTTAATCACCTACCTGTTTCTAAAGTTTTGGCTTTCCATGTTCCTTTGAGTCACAGACTCTCATAGGAATTTCATTACACAGAACTTTTTTTTTTTTTTTTAAATTAAAAACTGTTTGGCTAGAGGCTCAGACAGCTTACAGGCTAGCTCTCTCTTAATTACTAACTCATAACTATTATTCTATGTATTTCTACATGGTTTTTATCTTACCAGAGAACACCCAACACATCCTGTCTTCCCCGTAGCTACATGGCCTCTCTCTGGAGACCTCTTTCTGCATCCTCTCCCCATAGTTGTCCTCTTCTGGTAGCCCCGCCTATACTTCCTGCCTGGCTACTGACCAATCAGCGTTTTATTCACCAGCCAATAGATAGTCACTTATACAGAAGTACATACCCCATCATCTCCTCTTTCCTGTCTAAATAAAAAGAAAGTTTTAACTTTAACATAGTAAATATATATAACAGAACAATTATCAAGTAAGAACTATAGTTAACAATATTTAGAACTTTTTTTTAAACCTTTAGAACTTTTTTTTTTAGAACCTTGTGTGCTGTAGAGTTGTGAACCAAAAGAGTATACCAGTTGCTTTCAAGCTGGAGTTTTATTTGATGAGAAAGTAACATCAGCATAAAATTACAAGATAGTGGGTGTTCCAGCTGAGGATTTCATATGGACTGGATCCTTGTTTACTTTCATCCATTTTGAAAGCTTTAAATCTGAAAAACAGGCAGGCTGGGGAGATAGCTTGTGGGTATTTGTAATGACAGTAATAGGAAGTAATAAGCAGACAGATCCATCCCTCGGGCTCACTGGCCAGCTAAACTAGCTTATTTGATGTATGCCTGACCAATGAGCTAAGCTGTCCTCTGCACACATACATAAACACATGCTGCATACATACTTATAATACAAAAGCTGTTTCCCCTTCCTTCTTTCCTTCCTTCCTTCCTTCCTTCCTTCCTTCCTTCCTTCCTTCCTTCCTCTCTCCCTTCCCTCCCTTCTTTCTTCCTTCCTTCATTTTATATGATTTTTCCTATATGTATATCTGTTTAACATATATGTCCCTGGTACCCATGGAGGCCATGATACATGTAGAACTAGAATTAGGGATTGCTGTTGGCTGCCATGTGGATGCTGGGAAGAACAGCTACTACTCTTAACCACTAGACCATCTCTCTAGTTTCTAGACTTTTAGTAGCCTCACAAGAAAAACATCCGGTAGGAAATGTTACAGATATCAGATTGCTTTTTACCCCATTCTCCAAATGAGACCAAAAGTAATAACACAAAATTTTTTACTTCATAATAAAAATAACATTTAGTGTGTGTGTTTATTTATTTGGGTGATAAGGTCTCATTGTATAGCCTTTGCTGGTCTGGAACTTGCTATGTAGACCAAGTTGGCCTCAAAGTCAAGGATATCTGCCTGCTTTTTTTTTTTTTTTTTTTTTTTTTTTTTTTCCCTCCCAGGCAGAGTTTCTCTATGTAGCCTTACTGTTCTTGGCTGTCCTGGAACTCGATCTTAGGCCAGACTGGCCTTGAACTCACAGAGATCCACCTGCCTCTGCCTCCTGAGTGCTGGGGTTAAAGATGTGTGCCATCCCTGCCTGGCTTATTTTTTTTTAGTTTTGAGGCAAAGTTTCTTTGTAGTGCAAACTAATCTTAAGTTCATTATCCTTCTATAAAACATCTCAGAACTTTGTCTTGCCAATCTAAAACTCTAGGGTTGGACAAGGTAGCTTCTACCTGTAATCCCAGTACTCCATGAGGCAGAGGCAGAAGCAGAGGTAGGTGGTGCTCTGCTGCATCAAACATTGTTTTATTGGCTTCTCGTCAAAGTGCTTTTTTGCTTTTCGTAGGAACTTTATCATCACTGTCTGGAAGGCCAAGGAAAATGGGCTCCTTTGAAAATGTTCCCCCTCAGATTTAAAGCAAAGGTCTCCTTGGTGCTCATGCTGTATCCCTGAGATCCAGCTACAGAAGTGCAGCCCACACAGTGAGCTATTTTAGAGTGTAAGATATTTTTATGTGGCAAAAGTATGAAGTGGAAGTTACAGCTCTCAGGTTATTGGGTAGCCCAGGGCAACTCTGATGTGTGTGATGTTCTTCTGAAGAGGTTTTAACTCACCACTCTCCTGTACCTTGACATGTCTTGCTCATTTCTCAGGTTTGGCTCTTCCCTGGTTCTTTGATTTCATGCTTTCGGGTGCACATGTATATATATTCAGGAGCTGGATTTTTGCCAAACTTTTATATTGTGAATTCTTTATTAGACAGAAAAATAAAACTTAAGGTAAATATAACCACACATTGGGAGTCAAGGTATTAATAGCTAGAATGATATATAAGAGGGAGAAAAACAAATAGACACTGTTTTAGCCACTGTTTTTAACCTTGTTTTTGGTGTTGCTGGGAATTGATTTGAGAACATTATGCCTCTTAGACAATCACTCTACCACCAAGCTACACCCTAGCCCTACAACTCAGTGCTCTCTCTCTCTCCTTTCCTCTACTCTCTGTTCTACCTTCTCTTGAAGGTATGTGGCTCAGGCTAGCCTTGACCTTAGAACAGTCCTTTTACCTCCGTCTTCTGGGTGCCAAGATTATAGGCATGAGCCACTATACTTGGGTACTACAACACAGTTTTTGTTTTTTATTTCTCTGTGTAGCGGTCCTGGCTATCCTGCAGCTCACTTTGTAGATCAGGCTGGCCTCAAACTCACAAAGATCCACCTGCCTCTGCCTCACAAGTGCTGGTATTAAAGTCGTACACCACCACTGCCCAGCCTTACAATGCAGTTTTTACAGGCTGCATAGTATTTTGTTGTATAGATTATTCTCTCTTAGTTTGGTGCTCTCAAATCATGTGTGTGGTACTAGGTATTAAACCCAGGGTCTCATGTGTTAGGCAAGCACACACATGCACACTCCACAAATAATTTCAGTCTTTTGTTTTCAGATTGTCTATCTATAAAAATTTCATGTTAGTCTGGAAAAAAAAACAAAAAACTTTTTTTCTTTTTTAAAAAAATAAATTGCATAGCCAGGCAGTTGTAGCACACACCTTTAATCCCAGCACCGAGGAAGCAGAGGCAAGTGGATCTCTGAGTTCCAGGCCAGCCTGGTTACAATGTGAGTTCCAGGACAGCTAAGCTGTTACACAGAGAAACCCTGCCTCAGAAAAAAAAAGAAAGAAAGGAGGGAGGGAGGAAGACAGGTAGGGAGGAAGGAAGGAAGGGAGGAAGGAAGGAAAGAAAAGCAACACACAAAAAAAACCCAATTATTTATAGTTAGTCTAGTATCATTGATGCTTTCTATGTTTTTTGTTTTTTGATTTTTGTTTTTTTAATACAACTTTGGGCAAGTTTATTTCTTATATTTAAGGTATTTTAGAATAAATTGCTTTAAAATTTTCTTCTTAATTGGTTTTATTTATAGGATGAACTTTCTGATATTAGTCAAGGTGGATCTAAAGCTACCACTCCAGCTTCCACAGCAAATTCAGATGTGTCAGCAATTCCTCCTGATACTCCCTCAAAGGAAGATAATGAAGGACTTGTAAAAGGCACAGATACACCAAATAAATCAGAGATAAGCAAACATATAGAAGTACAGGTTGCCCAAGAGACTAGGAATGTATCTACAGGTAAGTGAATCTTAAGTTCTTACTAGCAAAATATTCAGTCAGCTTACATAATGCAAGTATGAAAAAATCTATCTTAGAAGTATTACCTGCTCTAAATTATATAAAATAAATCATTTGTTATGATCAGTTGTAAATAAGTTCAAAAGAAGTAATGCTTACACCAAGTTTTGGAGGGAAAAATGTTAGTGCTAAGAAGAAAGTTTAAAAACAGTAAGGTAGCATTTCCTGTTCTCTACCTTAATATGATAGTCTGCTGTGTGTTGTGTTTCATCCCCTTAAATAGGTTTGTTTGCTTATGATAGATCCTAACTATGTTGTAGCTTTGAACTAAAGTGTTCTCATGCCTTAGCTTTTGAATGTCGGGACTACAGGCATGTGTAAATCATGCTAATACCACCACCCCATTTATTTATTTATTGTTTGTTTGTTTTGCTTTTTTGAGATAGTATCATGTAGTCTAGGCTGGCCTCAAGTTCACTATATGGCCATGCGTGACCTTCATTCATCTCCTGGACCTCCTGTCTCTACTTCCCATGTGCTGAGATTATGGGCATGAGCCACTATCTTAGGTGGTTGGCATCCCTCTTTAATAGGAATGGTATCAGTCCCTATGATATGTTGTACTGTGTGTCCCAGAACTACAGGTGAAAACACTAGTTTTGGTTATTACTAGTTCTGCAGATTGACTGTTAACTCAGTATGTGACATTGTCTAACCTCTTGGTTCCTAGAGCACAGCCTTTAGAGTTTTCAAAAATGGCTATTCAGTAGTTATATTTAAAACCAAAAAGGCAAGAGAATGTATGCATTTATTTAATTATATCCTACCTTTAGACTCTGCTGAAAATGATGAGAAATCAGAAGTTCAAGCAATCATTGAATCCACTCCTGAATTGGATATGGACAAAGACCTCAGTGGATATAAAGGTTCAAGGTAACAAAATGTCACATTCCATGATTGTCTTAATTTTTTTTTTCATTCTGATTAACATTCTTGTTTTTTGTTTGTTTGTTTGTTTTTGTTTTGTTTTGTTTCTCTTTGTATCTTTGGAGCCTGTCCTGGAGTTCACTCTGTAAACCAGTCTGGCATTGAACTCACAGAGATCTGCCTGCCTCTGCCTCCCAAGCTGGGATTAAATAAAGGCGTGTGCCACCATTGGTACTATAAAATTCAGTTTCTGCTTTTGAAGCTGAATACAGTTTGTGTTTTAAATTGTGGGGAACATTTTTCTAGCAGCATTAGGAATTAGGACACAATTAGGATGATGTTTTTTTGTGTGTTGCCACAAAAATAAATGATACTGATTCATATATAAAGAACATACTTATTTTCTCATAATGCTCAAGCTAAGAAGTCCAAGATCAAGGCCCTGCTGGTTCAGTTGTCCTGTGTAGGCTGTTCTTTTTCCTAGATGATGTCTTCTTTATGGATCCCTTGGAGGAGAAGATGTAGTATCCTTTCATGGTAGAAGGCAGAAGAACAGATTAGCTTAAAGCTGTATGTGAAGTGTCTCTCCAAGGGACCTTACCTCAGTTTCACAAGGGAGGAGCCCTTATGGCCTAATTACCCCCTTAAAGCCCCTCTCTTAGTAGCATTGATGTCACCTAGTTCTGGAGGAGACACAGTCACACGATAGCAGATGAAGGAGGAAAGAACCAAGAAGTAATTCTTCTGGCCTGAAGAAACAAAGAGAGGAAGTAAAAATTTGAACGAACTTTGTTTTTTCTCACAAATGAGGAAGTGTAAGCATTCTGTTTAGAACTGCAATTATTTCATTATTAGGGAATTACATGGGAAGGTTGTTTCATGATAGCAGGAAAATGGCCAGGTAATGTTATCATCAAGATTATCCAAAATACAGTGATTAGAACTGAGCTTTGAGTTTCCTAAACAGATTTACCTTAATGAATAATGGCCATTGTCTTAGAGTTTCTATTGCTGGAAAGAGATACCATGACTACATAACTCTTACAAAGAAAACATTTAATTGTGGTGGATAACAGCTTCAGAGATTTAGTTCATTACCATCATGGTGGGAAGCATGGAGCTTTGCAGGCAGACATGATGCTGGAACTGAGAGTTCTACATCTCGCAGGCAACAGGAAATGAACTGTCTCACTGGGCATGGTTTGAGCTACATAAGACCTCAAAGCCCGCCGCCACAGTGACACACTTCTCCAACAAGTCTAGACCTTCTCCAACAAGGCCACATCTCCTAATAGTGTCACTCCCCTAGGGGCCATTTTCTTTCAAACCACCATAGCCATAAACATGCATCATTTATAAATTCCTTCTAAGCATCGAGTACTATGACACAATGGTTAAGTGTGTGGGCGTCAGGATAAGAATAACCCTAGATAGAGAAAGACTGGTAGGTTCAGATCTTGCTTCTCTATTCTTTTCTATTATAACAGGGCTAGGGATTGCACTTAGTGACACCTATCTTTTCATTTTCTAAATTTTACTATATCTTAATTTTAGTTAAATTAGAATTTATTATTGATATTAGTATGGCTATACAAATATTACAGTTTAGCCATAAAACAAATTTTCTTTCCATGCTTTGTATTTCCCTGGAATTGGTGAAATGTTTCCTTTTTATAGTGTCCATGAACTTAGCACTCACATGGACAGGCGGTGCATTTCCTAAGTATGAGATCCTCAGTATGACCAGACCCCAAATCTATTTGTTTTTCACAACTCTGCCGCACCTCAGCCTTCTAGTTCCTTTCTCATGTGGTGTTTACCTAGTTCTGCTGTTTCAGTCCTTCTCTTCAGAGAAACGGGACACCAAGACCCTTTGTCATGTGCTAGCATAGGCTCTGCAGGAGTTTCCCAAAAGCAGAGTCCTGTATACAATGGGTTTGAGTCTTTTATGCATTTTTTGGCTTCTTTATCCCCTATATATGATGACCTATAACCTTACTATTATTCTTAACTACCAGGCAGAGATACTAAAAATCACTATAAGGCAAAGGGAGGAGGGATGGATGGGGCTTGCATGAAAGACCTGGCAGAGTACTAAATAACACTCAAAAGGACACTGATTGGCCTACATTGGTTGCTACTATATTTTCCTCTCCTTAGCACTTGGAGACCTCTACCACCTTGCCTTATGCCCACAATACCTGGGAATATCTTCACCTTTATTTTCTGTATCCCATGTCATCTGCTTTTTGATATGTGCCTTTATTTCTACAGAGTTTGTATTCCTTACTAGCTTTCTGGATCTTTGAAGGGTGCTTGAGCAGGAATTTTTAAGGACTAAAATTAAATATGACAAATATCATTTGTAGACCTGCTTCATGATTTGGTAGTTTGCTTAAATATACAAGTGCAGGTTAGAAAACACTTTGAGAACTGTGAAAGTACTGCTTCTTTGTCACAGAGTTCAGTTGGGTTGGTTTGGTTTTATAACACAGAGTCTTGCAATAAAGCCCTGGCTGGCCTTTCGTTGATGATTCTCCTATCTTAGCCTCTTAAATTCTGGTTATACCAAGTTCAGTTTCACTTGACATCTTTTCTTCTCTCTGTTAAGTACTGAGGATTGAACCTAAGTTCTCATACATGCTAGGCAAGTACTTTATCACTGAACAACTCATCTTCACACTGTGTAGTAGCATCTTGTTCCACCAGTGGATTTGCAGTGGTGGCCGCATCCTAAGGGGTCAATGTCTGCACACTGAAGGTGAGTTTAATGGAGTCCACAAAACTGAGATAAATGATTAACAGATATTTATTAGGGGAGCACTCACACAGTGATGGTAAATAACTGTCTCCGTGTTCTTGCTCCTGAAGATGCAGCCTGCCCTTCCAGATGCTTTGACCATAACCCAAGAGAGCAAGCCAGACCCTCCTCTTGCTTATAAGGGGTCATGTCCTCACACCTAAAGCCACACCCCCAGGATGCTACCACCTCCACAAATCCACTGGCAGAAAAGATACCACTATATCACACCCCTTTTAAAACTTTTTAATTTTCATTTTTAAATAAGAGGTTTCCTTTCTTCCTCTCCCTTCCCTCCTTCCCTCCTTCCCTCCCTCCCTCCCTTTCTATCTTTTCAGTGTCTTACTATGTATTTCTGGCTGGCCACTCAATATGTAGACCAGGCTGACCTGGAGCTCACAGTGATCTGCGTGTGCCTCTTTGAGTCTAGAATAAAGACATGTGCCCCCATGCCTGGCTTCTAGTGTCATTTTTAGAAAAACAAAAGATAATCTTAAAACCATGCCAATTTGTACTAGATAGTTTAGCATTATAGTTAAGATTATTGATTCTGTTGAGGTTGTAGTTCAGTTGGCAGAGTGCTTGTCTAGCAAGCACAAAGCCCTGGGATTGATCTCTAGCACTGTATTGACCAGAAATGGTAGTGTAAGCCTTATCTAACTTGGAGGGGTCAAAATCTATGCCCCAAGTCTGGTCCATCCATCCATCCTCAGTAAGCCAAATAAAAGCCATACTAAAAGTAGGAAGCAGAAAGGGGGGGATTGATTTATTTAATATTGGCCACATTGAGAGAGGAACCCACAAAACCTTCTTTGAGGATCTGAAGTAAGGTTACAGACCCATCACTGTCTAGACTTAGTCTCACCCTGTAAGGTGCTCTGACAAGTTGTTAAAATTGTGTGAAATCTCTCTCAGGGAGACAGGTTATCCCTCTGGCTGTTACCTTTTCCTTCTCCTGGCATGAAATTCCTGGGGAAATTCACATTTTGTGAGGTTTGTTGTCTCAATAGTCTGACAGTCAGATTGAGAGATGCAGACTCTCTTTAGTGTCTTTATTTTTGTCAGGCTTGTTGTACAAGCCTTTCACTAGAGGATCAGAAGTTCATGGTCATTCTCAGCTTCAAAGCAAGATTGGGGCCAACCTGGATGCCATGAGACCCTGTCTCAAAAAGTAAAATAAATCAACATTGCCTTAGTTTGAATTCTTCTTCCATCTAATTGCTGAACGATTTTATCAAGTTCCTTAATATTTTCCTTATTAATAAAATTGGGGTAATAATAGCATATGCTTTGTGGAGTAGCTATAACTAAAATAGAGAACGTATGTAATACAGACCCAAGTAGCTGTTGGGACTTCTGAGTAGGAGCATAACTCTCTGTATGATATGTGGAAGTTCCTTGGAAAACCACTGAGAAATCTTTTTAGGTTGATACTTTATAGTAAATGAAAGCTGTAAGAAATTACTATGCTGCTGAATCATATTTAAAATACATTATCAGAAAGTCTTTGTAATTTGTTGATTTGGCTTTATTGTTTTTGTTGTATAGCACTCCCACCAAAGGCATAGAGAACAAAGCTTTTGATCGAAATACAGAGTCTCTCTTTGAAGAACTGTCTTCAGCTGGCTCAGGCCTCATTGGAGATGTGGATGAAGGAGCAGATTTACTAGGTATGACAGCTCCTCTGGAGAAATGCCATACTGTTTAAAAATAGGTCTCATTAAAATGTCCTGATTGCCTGATGGTACAAGGTTATTGTACTTTAGAAATTACTTAGAACCTATTATTTGATATCATAGAAGTTTTAATAAAAAGCATCTTCATATTTAGAAATGACAAAAATTGAATTTACATTTAAATTTATATTTTTAATTCACATTACAAGTTTATTGAATTGCTATATTCTAAATATAGATAGATATTACACATCAGGAACAGTGTGGCATGTGTTTGTGTGTACATGTATGATTGGTGGCACAAATAGTTCTTGGCTTATTTAAATCTTATTGTGTTTTGTTGACCTTAATTAAATGTTTTTATATTCCATAGTCATTTTAAAGCTTGTGTTGAGCTAGGGTTATAGCCCAGTTCCTAGCACTGCTGCTATGTTGTCTCCCTCCCCAAACAAGCAAAAAAAGTTTGTGTTGTTGAGCACATAACTGGGATTTGGAGAAATATTGTATTCAACTCTTCCACTATACATTTTCTGGGTTATCTTTGCCAAATTGTTAACCCTTTTTTTTTCTGTTTTGACATTTCATTGTATGTAAACATAGGAGTTACACTCTGTTTAACAGTCTGTTAGATGGGTTTGTGGGATAACACCAGCTAACCTCTACAGCTCTTCTCAGCTGGGAGTGGTGAAAGATGCCTTTAATCCTCTGCTAGGGAGGCAGAGCATGGTGATCTCTGTGAGGCCAGCCTGGTCTACAGACTGATTTCTAGGATAGTCAGAGCTATACAGAGAATCCTTATCTAGAGAAACCAAAAAATAAATAAATAAATAAATAAAATAAAATAAAAAAAAATAAAAAGTCTTCCTACATTTTTTTTGTTTGTTTACTATCTCTGATGGCCTTTATTCAACAATATTAGAGTTGAATGGTTTGCAGAAAATATATGGAATACAAAAACATAAAATAATTCCATTGGTCCCATTAAAGTAAAAGTTTACTAGCCCGTCCTCTGCAGAATATCTTTAGGTTCCTTTCAGCAAGAATTCTTTGTTCTGGTTTAAATTTAAATGCAAATTGAATTAGTTTTTATCATACCTTCCTTGTAGTTTAACACTGTGTAGAAATTGAAAGTCATAGAATTTTCAATCTTTTACTTTAGGTACAAAGTAGGCTTTAACAACAAAAAAAGTTTTTCTTACTGTCATAATACTAATGACTACACTGTTCTTAGAAAGCTGTGCTTGTCCAATCTAATAAATATGGAATGGGGTAAATTGCTTACATTAATTTATGTTAAATTTATTGATTGTCAATTATGGTTTTTATTTTAAATTGCAAGTTCAGTCAGCCATAGTAGCACAGTCCTCGGGTTGTAGAGGGAAGGGAACTGTGAAAGACCAGCCTGAACAACACAGGAAAACTCAACTTCAATAAATTAGAAAGAGTGTGGTGATGTACACCTTTAATCCTAGTACCCAGAAGGCAGAGGTAGATGGATCTCTGTGAGTTGAAAGTCAACCTGAGATGATATACAGTGAGACCCTATCTCAAAAAACAAACAAACAAAAACAACAACACAAACACAGGGCGGGAGAAATGACTCAGTTGTTGAGAGCAATGGCTGCTCTTCTAGTACAGCTCACAGTCATCTGTAACTACAGTTCCACAGGATCCAATGCCCTCTTCTGGCCTCCATGGGCATTAGGCATGCACATAACACACTGACATACATGCAGGCAGAACATCTGTACATGTGGTAATAATAATAATAATACCCTAAGCCCTACCTCCCCACATAAAAGTCCTATGTAAACATGTAGGTAGTAATCAAGATTTAAAAGTCTGTCAGTTTAACTGTTTGTAATTGAACATAGACTCCCACCATTAAAATCTTAAATAAAACTTTGTAGGAATTAAATGAAGTACTTTTCTCAAGGGAGGCTCAGAAAGAATAGTTCTTGAGGAAACGTCACATTTAAATTTACACCTTCGTTTTCGGTTTCACATGAAAAAGTGCTTTGAAAGTTTGATCAATTGGGACAGCAAGATGGCTCAGTGAGTGATGGCAGGCACTCAGCACCAAACTTGACCGCCTAGTTCAATTTCAGGAGGCACATGATAGAAGGAGAGAATGGACTCCTGCTTGGTGTCCTCTGGTTTCACTGGCAGGGAATGCACTTGTGCACAAATGTATAGTCATCTACACAGATGTTCACACAACCCAATTAAAAAAAAAAAAAAAAAAAAAAGGTGATTGGCTTAGAAAACTTGACTCTCCAGCAAATTTAAGGACAAATTCAAAAAATTGCTAGGAAGAATTTAAAATGTATTTCTAAAAATACATATTGAGATTTGCACACAGAAAAAATGTATTGTATTTTACAACTCCTTTTTTTTGTTTGTTTGAAATCTCCTAAAACTTCTTATTCTTTGAAGGTTTCTTAGATGCATATAATGCATTTGACCACTTCCGCTCCATTGTCTTTCCTCATGTCCCTCTCTGCAGCTGAACTCTTCCTCCTGAGAGCTCCCCTTCTGCTTTCCTGCCCTTTGTGGGTTACTTGCATGCACATGTATGAGAGGCTGTTGATTGGGGCATGGACTACTTTTCATGGGTATACCACTTATGAAAATGACACCCTACACCCAGCAACCAATAACTACCAATAATCCTTCAGAGAGGAGGGTGGAGTTTCATATGCCCATGCTCCCTCCATGATGAAATCTTATGCAGGTAACCATGACTGCAATGAGTTCAGGAGACACATCTTTTTGCAGCACATCACCTTACACTCCAGCCTTTATATTCTTATCACCCTCTTCCTCCTTGTTCCCTGAGCCTTAGAGGAGGTGATAGAGATGTTTCACTTAGAGAGGAACACTCCGTCATAACTTATCATTGTAACTTTGACAAGTTAGGATCCTTACCTCCTGCAGTCATCAGAAGCTTCTGTTTTGTTTATTTATTTAATTAATTAGTTAGTTTGTTTGTTTAATAGGGCTTTTGTTGTTGGGTTTTTTGTTTTGTTTTTGAGGTGGGGTTTCTCTGTAGCCCTGGCTGTGCTGGAACTCACATTGTAGACCATGTTGGCCTCCAACTCACAGAGATCCACCTGCCACTGCCAATGGAGGGAGTGCTGGGATTAAAGGTGTGCACCACCACATCCGGCAGAAACTACTCTTTTAAGATCTAATCCAGTGAACTCAAAGTAGAATAAATTCTTCTGTCTTGAAGTTGCCTTTATCCAGTATTAGTTTGATGTCCTAATCTATCATTACAAGGAGATTACAGGGGTAAGAGCTTGAGGCAGCAGCTCTATTGCATCCACACTCAGTAGACAGAGGCCAATGAATATGCTCATGCTTGCTGAGTACAACTTCTTAAGTTTTTGACAAATGCTTAGAATTATGTAACAACCACTAGAATCACTTATCACTGTGTCCTTTCTGCTGCCCTTTGAATGAAGTACTTAGGAGGATTATTTGTGTACATCACTTTATAAAGCACAGTAGTGAGTAATGACCCCATAACTTTCTTTCACTATAAAGAATTAAGCTACCTAGTAGCTAGAAATAATGGTGGTCATTTAGTTAAACTTTTTGAAAGTCAGAAAATTAATTACAGATTAAAAGCAAATTTTTTTGGTTTCCTTTTCATATTAAAGCTACTCTTTTCTGCTTTGCGGCTATTGGCATATATAGCTCTAGAACATTCCGGATTACAACATTTTAATAATATGTTAAAAAGAGTGACTTATACATATATAAATACTTTAGTCAAAGGTGGTAAATGAGGACCAGGGATGGAACTCAGTTGATAGAGTGCTTGCCTAGAATACAGGAAGCCCTGGGCTTCATTCTCACACTACCGAGCCTGCTGTTGTAGCATACACCATTAATTTCAGCACTTGGGAGGTAAAGACAGTACAAAGTTCAATTTTGTCTTCAAGATACATGAGACCCCACCTCTAAAAAGATGGTAAATGGTTTCTGTGCAATTCAGGGGCCAATAATAAGGCTACCCTACTGTATAGTAGGGTATACTTGTGTCAGCCACTGTATTAGACTTGGGTTGATGAGTAAGTGCATAGTCCATTTCTTTATCTCCTGTTATTCATTTTGCTTGGTTTTGTTATCAAACTTTTGTTCTAGAATTGTTTACTTTATTCACGGTACATATGTCTAACCCAGAGATTACTTTGATTTAATAACTGAAAAAGATAATCCCAATTGTTTTTTGTTTTCTTCTTCTTTTAGTTTTTCAAGACAGGGTTTCTCTGTGTAGCCCTAGCAGTCCTGGAACTCACTCTGTAGACCGTGCTGGTCTCAAACTTGGAGGTCTGCCTCCCTAGTGCTGGGGTTAAAGGTGTGTGCCACCACAGCCCACCTTTGTTTCCCTTTCTTTTTATTAATGTCTCATTCCTTAACTTTCTTACTTTGGATGGCCCTTTTCTCAATTTAGTTCTCTACGACTGCTCTCTATAATTTGGAAATCATACACTTGGTTATTCTACTTCCAAGATATTGTTTGTTCATTCTTATGAATTTTTAACTTTACTCTTTTACTAAGAGCCCTGTCACCCCCGCCCCAAGCCCTGGCTGTCTTTGGAATTATTGGCAATCCTTTTGCTTCAGCTTCTTATTGCTGGGTTTGCAAGTGTACACCACCATGCCTGGGTTTTGGTCCTTTCCTTTTTCAAAGTAAAAATTCTACTTTCTGTGAAAGTTATTCACCACCCTCCCATTTCTTGTCCTGCTTTTCTGTTGTTGTATGATGATGACATACTGCTGTTGCTACAGACCAGTCTAGATATTGGGACAATGCAGAGTAGAAAACAGACTCATCAGGCAGTTCTCCACTATTTCTATCTCAGTGAGTGAACCTCTTTGCCATCATTGAACTGTCCATCATACCTCTCACTTTCCCTCATAGCCAGCCTTCAGATCCTATTTGTTTGTCTTGTCCCTATTTGTCCCTATTTGTCTTTCTTGTCCCTACTTAAGTGGTATGTCTTCTAGGAACTCTGCTTTGATCCCCTAAGCATACTCATCCTTGTCCGTAGTAGTGAATTTCATTATACCATTCGTCATACTTTTTTTCTGTATCAGTTTCCCTGGACAGACTATAAATTCAGTGTGTCAGACACAACTGTGTTTTATTTGGTTTGGTTTTGGTTTTAGTTTTTTGAGACAGGATTTCTCTGTGTAGCTTTGGAGTCTGTCCTGAAACTCTCTCTGCAGACCAGGCTGGCCTGAACTGACAGAGATCCACCTGCCTCTGCCTCCCAAGTGCTGGGATTAAAGGTGTGTGCCACCACTGTTAAGCAACTGTGTTTTGTTTGGATTTCATCGCTGTTGCAGATTTAGCACAGCACAATATTCAAGTGAATGGGAATGTGAAATAGTCCTTTTTGCTTCACTTCAAAATCTGTGGTTTATCTTTTGAGATAAAGAGTCCTTTAATAGGAAGTTTTTGTTTGTTTGTTTGTTTTGTTTTTTTATAAAGAGAGTGTGTGTATAAGAATGTATACAGCTGGCTAAAATGATACATGCATTCTCAAGGAATTGCAAATCATCCAGATGCTATGTGCCCTTTTCTTGAACTATCTTGACAGTTCTAAATAAAATTACTGCAGAACAAGGTGTTTTTCTTTGTTTTTTGCTTTTGTTTTTTGTTGTTTTTGCTTATTTTTATAGGCAAAATTTATGTGAATATTATTTATACTTAAAATCTGGAATAGAGATAAGGCCACTTCAGGTTGTATTTTTCTTATTAGTTTTACCGATAGATTTCAAAAAAAAATTGAATAATGCTGCTACATTTTAAGGTAATTCTTCAGTTAGTGTGTGTAAGTTTAATTGAAACATTTGGAATTGTAAGGTATGCTCCTCAGAAGTACCCATTTTTTTTCCTTTTATAACATTTACACTTTATTGTATATAGTTGATGGTTTTGCTATATTGATTCAATTGCTTTGTCAGATCTTTCTTGTTTTAAAATAAATGGGTTTAGTTCTTGCTTTCTGGAAACAATCTAATTGAGCTTCTTGTTCATTTTTCTCTTGGGATGCTTACCCAGGGGAATATTCTGGTGTGTATGTTTTTAAATACTTTCCTATTGCTGCTTTTTAAGCTAGGTGCTCTTGGCTGTTCTCATTTGATGCTTTTTCATTATTTGTTTCCTGCCTGACTATTTTTCTCTGCATATATTTCTAGCTTTTATGCTGCTCTAAATGTGTTGAGAGTTTGCCATAGTTGCTATATATGCTTTTTCATGGAGTCTGAGCTGTTTATTCTGTCTCTGAACCTTTACTAAAATGTTAGTGTTAGTATTTAAGGAAAATATCTTGGCATCATTTTGGGGATGGAATTTGGAAGCTTTCAGCTGCACCACCCCAGTTTGTGGTGAACACAGTGATTGAATGTGCTACTATTTCTGTTGTTTGAGAATATTTGAAAAATTGTAATATGGACGAATTAGGAATCCATATGTCCGCATTAAAATTTAACATTCCCAGGCATATTTTGTTTTAAATCACTTAAAAATCATTAGGAATGTTAACGCTTTATTTTTGAGACAGAGTTTCTCTTTGTAGCCCTGGCTGTCCTGGAACTCACTCTATAGAATAGGCTGTCCTCAGACTCACATAGATTCCCCTGCCTCTGCCTCCTAAGCACTATGATTAAAGGCATGCACCACCAGTGCCCAGCTGTAATATTAACTTTTTTTTTTTTTTAAGTAAAAGGATAATGTATGCTAACTCCTTGGCCTTAAATAATGTTTTTTTTAGAAATATTTCCTTTTTGTTTTCTTGAACTATAAATATTGCTTCTCCTGCTGTGTCATTCTCTAACATTGTCTCATGAGTCTTGGGGTGAGTGATCAGGGGGTTTTTTGCTTTGTTTTGCTTGAAGTGATTTTGTTCCTTTTTTTTTTTTTCTCTTCCTCCAACTATTTTATTTCTTCAATCTCTTATAAGAAGCAAATAGCTTTATTTTTCTGAAAGGTGACTATATTGAATCTTCCACTAAATACTCTTTATATCTTTTAGTTCTCAATAAAATATTAAGAACAATTCTATAAAGTGACAACTGAATTATTATTTCATGTGTGGCACTTTGTAGGAATACTTTGTAGTGCTGAGTTGGAATTTTCATTACAATTATATTCAAACTATTATGAGGAGGAATTGATTAAGCATTTTTAAGTATATCAGAAATCATTTATTTCTGCCTTTTGCACATCATTATGCCTTGAGTCATAACATTGTGAGTCCAGATGTTTTTTCATATCATGCATAGAACTTTATAGATTAATGATATGTTTTCATGATGTTTTTTACATAAAACATTTCTTGTTCTTTGTTTTTGCTTTACATGGAATGCATGGGCTTTAAGACCATAATTTCTTTGGTAAGGTTTTCTGTCTTGGGGTTCTATCTTTACCCTTACTTCTGCTTCTCCTCTATTAGTCAAATATAATTTCTTAGGCAGAAGCCTACAACATCAGCTGTGATTTAGAAATTTTTTCTGATCTCTATCAATGCTCATTTTTCCCCTAAATAGTAATATGTATTAAGAATATCTGGGGTGGTGTCGGCACACACCTTCAATCTCAGCACTTGGAACAGAGGCAGGCAGATCTCTGTGAATTCAAGGCCAGCCTGGCTACAAAGTGAGTTCCAGAACAAACAGGGCTGTCTCAAAACAAAGCAAAGCAAAGCAAAATAAAACAAAATAAGAAAATCTGGCAGAAAAGTCTTGATCTTTCTGAAATACTATCTATGCAAAACAAAATGTAACTGATAGATGTAAAGAACTGGCCAAGAAGAGCTCAGTGGTGGCTTGCATCTGCAACACCAGCTTTTGGGAAGTCTAAGAAGGAAGATCACTTAAGCCAAGGAAATTAAGACAGTCTGAACAATATAACATAGCAAGACCCATTTCAAAAACAAAAGCGACAATAGCAAAGAGTTTAGCCAATAAATTCCTTAGCTTTGGTCTGTGATGAGTATTTATAATTCCATAATCCTTACAATAAATACATAAATGACATAGACAAAATATGATTAAAGTAAAGGTTAAAATAGTAAAACTTAGGGCCATAGTTTATATGTAATTTTTGATAAACTTATTTTCAAAGTTTTTACCATTTTTCATCTGTAGGAATGGGTCGTGAAGTGGAGAATCTCATACTAGAGAACACACAGCTGCTGGAAACCAAGTAAGTATGCAATAAAAAAGAAACGCATTTTCTTCTAACCAAATCAGTGATTTTATATCAGTTTAACACAGCATTGCTGTTTTAAGTTCTCAGTTGTTCAGCTTTATGATTTGACAGTTACTTTAGTCTAAAAACACTGAAGTGATTTGTAATGATGCATTTGAAATATGTGTTTTTTAGAAATGCTTTGAATGTAGTGAAGAATGATTTAATAGCAAAGGTGGATGAGCTGACCTGTGAGAAAGATGTGCTGCAGGGAGAACTGGAGGCTGTGAAACAGGCCAAGCTGAAACTAGAGGAGAAGAACAAAGAGCTGGAGGAGGAGCTCAGGAAGTAAGTTTCAACAGTTTCTGGATTCCAGGCACTTCTAGCCTTTGACACTGAGACTGTCATCCATGTGTGCATAGCTATGATCACACTCTTGCTCTGACCCAAATGCTTTGCCAGGGTATCTCAAAAGATTGTAGGTAGAACCCTGAGACTGAGGCCTTCAGATCACTCAAACCAGGAAGGGACAAGAACAACCTGGAGAAAGTAAAGTGTCTCAGCCCTTTGTCTCTGCTATGAGCTGGCCTGTTTTCCAATCTCTTAACCAAAACGTCCTTTTGCTTTTGTTTTGTTTTTCTTTTCCCTATTCATGTTGGTGTCAAAAATTGTAACTGTGGGCTGGAGAGATGGATTAGCAGTTAAGAGCACTTGTTGCTTGCTTTTCCAGCAGACCAGAGACCACCCACACCAGGTAGCTCTCAATTGCCTATCACCCCAGCTTCAAGGCATCCAACACCCTTTTCTGACCTCTGCGCACATATTCACAAATAAAGGATAGGATAAATGGTTGAGTACGTGCTGCTTTTCCAAAGGTCCTGAGTTCAGTCCCCAACATCCATATTAATTGTCTACAATGACCAGTACACGCATACGAACTCATATGCTCACACATAAATAAAATAAAAAATACACAGCAAAAGACCTTAAATCTTCAATTTTAAAAAGTTATAAAATTTATGATTTTCCCTCATTTAACTTGTTTTTGTTTTTATTTTTTGTTCATGAGATAGGCTGGCCTCTAATTCACTACGTATAGCAGAGAATGGCCTTGAACTCTTGTCCTCTGACTGCAAGAAGCTAAGATATGGGCATATTGCTGCTGTGGCTAATCTGTTTTGTTTTTGTTTTTGTTTTTTAAGTTTATTTTTTGAGACAGGGTCATATGTAGCCCGGGCTAGCCTTAAACTTATTATGTAACTGAAAATGACCTTGAACTCCTAATCCTCCTGCCTCAACTTCCCAAATGCTCAGATTATGTAAGTGTGTACCACCACCATGCCTGGCCCAACCTGATTTTATTTTAAGAAGTGTTGTGATAACATTTTTCAAAATTAAACACAGCAATCTAACCTTTGGACAAAAGAAAAATAATCTCTTAGTGGCAATTAAAACACTTACCTTTTCTCTCATTAATTTTGAAGATTAATTCAATTCTAATAACATGTTATTTTGCCGCCCCCCCCCCCCACTAGAGCTCGTGCAGAAGCTGAAGATGCAAGGCAAAAAGCAAAAGATGATGATGATGTAAGTTTATGATTTGGGAATTCCTTACTATTATTTAGTATTATGGTTCACAAATAAGCTGGTTCATGTTTCTACATGGTATCTACATGCTGTGTTTCTAGAGCTGTGTGCTCACTTTTCCTCAGTGGTTCATTGCTCTGATGTGTGGTTGCATACTATTGTTTCTGATTTTTATAAAGTAAGGTTTTGTTAGGTAGCCCAGACAGGCCTCAAACTTACACACACACACACATACACACTCTTAAGTTTATATGTTTTGCTTGCCTGTGTGTCTGTACACCACAAGTGTACCTGGTCCCTAGAATTCAGAAGAAGGCATTAATTAAATTTTCTAGATGGGCCCCCAAGATACCTCAGCATGTAAAGGTACTTGTAGCCATGCCTGATGACCTGAGTTCAATCCCCAGAACCACAAAGTAGAAAGAGAACACTAACTCCCACAAGTTGTCCACATGTGTGTTGTAGAATGCATGCATCCACACACATACATAGATACACATTATACACAAAACACATAGGCACACTGTTAGCATTCAGGCATTATGCTGGCCTACCCTTGGGGACCTAGAAGGAGACACCATCAACCACAACCACTTCCCTACCTGCATGTGCTTGCTAGCCTTTCAGGCATGACGATAGCCTACCCCCAGGGCCCTTAGCTGTAGCCACTAAGAGCATCCCTTGCACACATGTGCTGTCAACATTCAGGCAGATACCTGACCAACCCAGAGTCCTATGGTGAAGACATTTTGTAGTCTTTGCTCATCAGCTACATTGGGCCACCCTGCCTTCCTTCCTCTCTTCTGTTGTCCCTGGTCTCCAGAGGCTGGTCCCTCTCTTCCCCCTTTTCCTATTCCCCTCCCCAAATAAAATCCTCCATCCACATGAGCTCTGTTACATGGCATCTCTCTCCCACTGTTTCTTAAATTATTAACACACTAAATTATAAATATAATTTTTAAAGAATATTGTCAGAAATGTCCCTCACTATTATGTATATTTTCCCTCACCGGTCAGGTCACACAGCCACATCAGCCCCCAAATAATACACAGAAACGCTGTATTTGATATAAATGCTGTTGGCCAGTTACTAGTTTCTTATTAGCTAGTCTATGTCTTAATTATTAACCCATTTCTATTAATCTAAGTACTTCCACATGATCTTATCTTACCGGAGAGAGGGGCCAGCATTCTATTCTCCGTCCTCCATCTTGAAACTCCTCCCTACCCCTTCCTTTCTCCTCCTAGTCTCCTAGTCCTGCCTATCTTGCTTTTCTATTGGCCAACAGTGCTTTATTCATTAGCCAATACAAAAAACATATTTACAGAATGACATCTCCCATCACCTCACCCCAGAGGAAACCATGTTCCTTTCTCATTTATTTAACTAACAATTTAATCATGCAAATATGTACACATTTTCCTAGTTTTCATGAACTGTCAGCTTGCGACTGACTACAATCATCTTAACTAAAAAAAAGAGTCTCACTTGAATTGTTTTCTTCATTGGGCTGGTCTGTGGGCTTGTCAATGAGGGATTGTCTTGATTGTTAATTGATATAGGACAGCCAAGACTGTTATGGGTGGAATCATCCCTAGGCAGATGATTCTGGGCTCTATAGGAAAGCCAGCCAAGCATGGGCCAGAAAACAAGCCAGCAAGTAACATTTCTCTATGGTTTTTGCTTCAAGTTCTGCTTATGTTTCTCCTTTGATTTCCCTTGATAGACTCTGACCTGGAAGTATAAACCCAATAAATCCTTTCCTCCCCTAAGTTACTTTTGGTCACTGTTTTATCAGTGCACAGGAAGGGAACTAGGAGGCACACACATAGTTGACATTTCCATGGAGATCTTAGAATAGCATATCAAGACTGTATAAATGTCAGCTTGTACTGATTTTCCTTTTGGAAACATCCTCACTTTGTTGTCCCTGTTTGGCTTGAGAAGAACTGCGTAGATCAGGCTAGCTTCAAACTCAGAGATCTGCCTGCTTTTTTTGCTTCCTGACTGCTGGGATTAAAGGCCTGCATCACCACACTCAGAATCATAATTCTTTAATAAAATATTAAAAGGATATGTTTGTGTTTGGAAATTAAATTACCTATTTCTGTATTTTTTACAAAGTATGGTGTTGGTTTTGTTTCATATTACTATTAGAGACAGAAGGCTTGGTTCAGTTGGCTAGCATGCTTGAAGCCCTGGTTCAATTCCTACACAGAAACACCATATTCCATCTTGGAGACATACATGCTGGCAAAATACCAATAAATATAAAATAAAAATAAATTATAAAAAAAGAGTTATAATAAACTAGGTGTGGTACTTGCTTGTTATCTTAGGGTTTTCTGTTGCTGTGAAAAGACACCATGACCATGGCAACTCTTATAAAGGAAACGTTTAATCGGGGTGGCTTGCTTACAGTGTCAGAGGTTCAGTCCATTATCATCATGGCAGCTTGCAGGCAGAGGTAGTGCTAGAGCTGAAAGTGCTACATCTCTCAAGCAACAGGAGGTACCCTGAACGTAAGAAACCTCAAAGCCCTTCCTCACAGTGACACTTCCTCCAACATGGCCGTATCCACTCCAATAAAGCCATGCTTCCTAATTGTGCCACCCCCTCTGAGATTATGGGAACCAATTACATTCAGACTGTCACACTGTGATCCCAGCATGTAAAAAAAAAAACTGAGGTACAGTCAGGCTGTGTGGTGGTGTATACCTTTAGTTCCAGCACTTGGGAGGCAGAGGCAGGTGGATCTCTGTGAGTTGGAGACCAGCCTGGTCTACAAGAGCTAGTTCCAGGACAGCCTCCAAAGCCAGAGAGAAACCCTGTCTCAAAAAAAAATTATAAATAAATAAATAAATAAATAAATAAATAGAAGTAGGAGGATTGCAGCTTTTGGCTTGGGGGGGGCAGTTGTACTAGCCTGGATTACATAGTAAGATCTTGTCTAAAACAAAAAAACAGCCCCCCTTTAGTCCCAGCACTCAAGGCAGGAAGGTTTTTTTGTGACTTTGAATCCAGTCTGTTCTGCATAGGGAGTTCCAGGACATACATAGTGAGAACTTGTCTCAACATCTACACCCTCCAATAAAACAAAACAAAACAAACAAACAAACAAACAAAAAAAAAAAAACGGAACATTATAGTACCGTACAAATCTTTGGCATGGAGACTTCTGGGTTCCCCTGCCCCCTCCCAAGAGTATATATACTGTTGCTAAATTCAGTCTTCCTTTCTTTCTTTCTTTCTTTCTTTCTTTCTTTCTTTCTTTCTTTCTTTACTTATTTATTTTCTCTCTCCCCTTTTCTCCCTCTCCCCTTCCCCTCCCTCCCTCTCTCCCTTCCTTCCTTCCTTCCTTCCTTTTTTGTAAAGACAGTGTTTCTCCGTGTAGTCCTGACTATCTTGGAACTCATTTTGTAGACCAGGCTGGCCTCGAACTCAGAAATGCGCCTGCCTCTAGGCAGGATTCAGGCCTTTTGTAATTTGTGGATGGTTTTTGTTTGAAAAGGCCGGCTAAATTCTGAGGCAGGAAAACAAAGGCAGAAGACTGCTGAGAGCAGAGCTCACCTTCTGTCTCACTGTTCCAAGATTTCAGTCTCGATCTAAAATATACATGGCTCCTCTCAACAAAACCCTATCATTAAACCTACCTGCTTACCCAGAAGGAGGCTGAAAAATCAGCAGTAGAAGGAAGTTAACTTGGACATGCTCTTTGGAGCTTTACTTCTGTATGTCATCCATGTTCATATCCTAGTCCCTGTAGCATTAATTCTGAGTTAATGTTGTGTTTCCACTGGTGGTTTGTTATTGTTTTGCTGTTTTAGTTGGATTCCTTAGCAACTAGATAATAGATTCACTATGAATGTTAGCTTCTGGATATGTACATGGATTAATAGTTTGAGATAAATAAATCTCTTTTGGAACTAATTGTAACTGTTTTCTGAATGTCACAGACCATGAATTTAAAGTGTTAGAATAATGTTTCCAAGTAAAATGTATGAGAGCATATTAAAAATCTTTATTTGGTATTGGCTGAAAATTTGTAATTTTAATAATTCTTTTACATGTTCAATATTAATGTTTATACTCAGAAATTAAATTGCCTATTTCCTTTCAGTCCTACATAAAAATTTGAGTGTCTGATTTAATTTTATAAGGACATTTTTAAAGCCATTAGATTAAAAGATTTCTTTATTAAGCTTAAAGAAATGTTTAAAAACTTAAGATTTGGTTTCAGTGTGAGGTTAACACCAAAACATATGTAAACTTCATATGTAAACTTGCCCTACTCTTACCATTATAGAGTGACATTCCCACAGCCCAGAGGAAGCGGTTTACTAGAGTGGAAATGGCCCGAGTTCTCATGGAGAGAAACCAGTACAAAGAGAGACTGATGGAGCTTCAAGAAGCTGTTCGATGGACAGAGATGATCCGGTCCGTACAATGGGTGCCCTGATGTTTCCCATTGTTTCATTAGATGCATGCACTCCTTCATTGCCAACTAAAGTACTGCATTAGATTAACACTAGAACAAGATCAGAGATAGGTAGTACAGGACCTTGAAGGATGCTACCATAACCTGTAAATGTTGCTACTTAGGTGTAGGTGTTGCTACTTAGGAATAATGGTCATTTTTTAAAATATGAAAATTGATATTATTCTGTGTTTGTAAATTTCACATATGAAAATTATATTTATTTAGTATCTTCCTGTAAAATATACTTGACTCCCCCTCCTTTTCTCTTCATGCAAAATGTACCTTCTATTGACATCTTTCAGTCAATTAGATCTTTGTTTTTTATCATTAACATGTTTTAATTGGTTCATATTAATGGAGTTAAGTGCCAGTATGTGCTGGTGCAATGGTCATCAAATCCAGCTTCTCTGTATTCATTCTCTCCATCTGCTGTCCTCTAGGAAGTGCTATTTTGTATTCAAGCTGACTTCCTTTTTACACTTTCCCATGTGAGAGAGAGTTCACGTCCTTTTTTGGGTGTTAACGCTCATGTAGTGCTGTCATCTAGTGGTCATGGTGTCAGTAACAGTGTTCCTTCTCTAATTCAGAAATAGCTCTTGAAAAGTTTGACCATTAGTTTACTCATATGCATAAGTTTAGATTATCACATCAAATTTATACATTAGTTTGTAAATCTAACCTCCAACCTTTACTTCCTTATCATTACATCATTTATAGCACCACTTACTTATTAAGTGGCCTACCGGAGCAGTATAGTTGTAAACTGTTTTGTAAGTTAAGCATGCAGGTAAAAAATAAAACTTCAGCTAAGGGTGGAGATTTATAAAGCAGAATTTTAAAAATGGAACTAGAGTATATCTTTTCAATATTTTTTTTTCTGCTTTGCTATTATGAACTTCCTGGGGCTCTGGCTCTTTGGTGAAAAGAGGATAACACCTGTTATTTTTTTTTTTTTTTTTAATTTAGGGCATCACGAGAAAATCCAGCCATGCAAGAAAAAAAGAGGTCAAGCATCTGGCAGTTGTGAGTATACTGAGGACCGTGAGCATAGGGGATGTGTCAAGACAAGAACATTATTCTCACTTTCCCAGCTGAGAGGAAATAGCTAAACTGAAATTCTTTTCTTTAATATACAGCATGCCAACTCGGTAAGGCTGTGCTTGAGGACCCAAAGTAGGCTATCGTAAGCTGCATTGTGTTGGTTATGCATTTGGTGGAATCTTCTGCCAGTTTACACAAAATAGTGGGGAATTGTTTGTAAAATTGACAGGTACATGAATCCCCATCAAAGAAAAGATGATAAATGTAGTATTTATAGTGCTTGCTTTGTCTCTGTGTGTTAAACTCTATTATGTTTGTACCAGAAGTAGTGTGTGTTTACTGAAGTTAAAACTTACCCTTTAAGAATTAGTCTGTTTACTGGAAGCAAAAATATTTTAAAACTGTGGACATGAAAATAGTTGCTTAAATTGAGCTTAGAAAGTTCCTGCTATGAGTTAACCTGGTAATGACTGTTCAAAGTGCTGCACACTGAGCTTCTGCTGTCAACACACAGTTGTTACCTTGCTGCTTAACATCCACAGTAGGAGCTAGCTAAGAAACCTATATATTGTGTTTATTTAGTAGATGCTTTCTTTATGCAGGAGTGTGTCTTTCATTATGGAACGTGCATATTAAAGAACAGGCTGTGACTGACAGCTCAGGCTGTAGTAATATAACTATAAAAACTGCTTTTGCTAATATCTAACTCACTGCCTAGAGCATAAAAATTTATGGAAAATCGGCGGGGATTGGTTTTTCAATGCATGTAATAGATATACTTGTGGATTTTGTTTGTTTGTTTTGTTTTATTAGTTTCAGCCGCCTTTTTAGCTCTTCAAGCAATGCAACAAAGAAGCCTGAACCCCCTGTGAATCTGAAGTACAATGCACCCACTTCTCACGTGACTCCCTCCGTAAAGAAAAGGAGCAGTACCTTGTCTCAACTCCCTGGTGATAAGTCCAAGGCATTTGATTTCCTTAGTGAGGAGTAAGTATTATGAGCAATGGTCATACTAAGAGTGCATTCAAAGTTAGAATCTCTCACCCCTTATTTCACAGAAGTTCAGATAACTCTAAAGAAACTATTTTTAGCCAGACATAATTGGTTAATCCCAGTACTCAGGGTGCTGATACAGGACGATCATCACTAGTTCATGGCCAGCCCGATCTGTATGGACAGTTCAGGCTAGCATCAGCTACACACTTAACCTTGTCTTAAAGAACAATGGAAATTATTTTGTAGGGTGGGATTTTGGGAAGAATAAAAAGAAAGATGGGTTTCCATATTGTGGACAGATGCCTTATAAGTAAATTACCTGTAGGATTAGACAATGTAATCCTAAACATATGGAAACTGAGGCAGGCAGATTGCAATTTTGAGGACATCCTGGGCCACAGGGTAAGACTTTGCCCCAAAATGCATGAATGACTTGTAACCAGTACTTAAGAAAGTTGCACTTCGGGCTGGAGAGATGGCTCAGAGGTTAAGAGTACTGGTTACTCTTCCAAAGGTCCTGAGTTCAATTCCCAGCAACCACATGGTGGCTCACAGCCATCTGTAATTGGGTCTGGTGCCCTCTTCTGGTGTTGAAGCAGACATGTAAGCAGAGCATTGTAATCACAATAAATAAATCTTTAAAAAAAAAGAAAAAAAGAAAGTTGCCCTTCAGGACTAGTGCAGTCTCAGCAGGTAAGGTTGCTTGCCACCAAGCTTGGTAAACTGAGATTGATTCCTGGGATCCATGTGTTGGAAGGAGAGAATTGCCTTCCACAAGTTGTTCCCTGACCACCTCAGGCACACATTCAAACACACACTCACACAAATGCACACACTCTGGATAAATAAAATGTAATATAAGTTTTTGAACAAAGAAAATTGTACTTCATAGTTTTCAAAGGAAAATGAATTTTTGTTGACACAACTTCAAATATCAATAGAAATACTGACTACTTAATTTAAGCCTTTAATCTTAAGTGTTTTAATATTTCCTTTGGTTGCCAAAAGAACTTGGTTTTCCCTCTGATTCTGCATGTGAACAATTTCATCTCTTAGATGAATTTTTCTCTCTGAAAAATTATTTCAAAGGTGTTGGGTTAATATTGTACACTATGTGTAGTTTCTGAAACACCAGTGGATTTTATAAACTATGGTTTATACAGAAAGTCACCTCACCCCCCCAAAAAAAAAGGCCAAATAAAAGAGCAATTATTTTTAGAATCATTTTTATATCTTACTCCATATCTCTAAAGCTCACTGAGTCAGTTTGTCTTTTTGTCTTCTAAAATTAGATGACTCAGAGGTTAAAAAGGACCAGGGTTTGGTTCTCAGCACCCACATGATGGCTTGTAATGATCTGAAACTCTAGTCCCAAGGAATCCAATGCTCTCTCTGGCCTCTGAGGACACCAGGCATTCACGTGGGGCACAGACATCCATGTAGGCAAAGCACTCAAAACACATACAATAACTAAATAAATTTTTAAAAAAGAATGAAATAGTGGGTAGAATATAAAAGTTTAACTTAATCATTCTCCTAAGGATACTATGACACAATATCCAGCATTAGAAAATTCTTATTATTTGTTAAATAAGAAAAGGAAGATCCCAAATTACTTCAGAATTTTTTCCTTTCATATATGGCATCTGAAAGCCCATAGTTTGATGACTAATAACTAACTCAGTTTCATACAACGTGCTGCTACTCCCCAAAGAAGGCTGGCTTCACAAATGTGGAAAGATCAGCTTTGGTATAACCCTTGAGTTGGAGTATGTGCATGTGGGTTATATGTACCCCAGGGTAGCCAGGAATTCTCTATGAAGTTGAGGGTGACTCAAATACTGGGATTAGAGGTTTTACTGGAGTCACTTCATTAAAATTGCAAATGTCGTTTTCTAGAACTGAGGCTAGTTTAGCTTCCCGAAGAGAGCAAAAAAGAGAGCAATATCGGCAGGTAAAGGCACATGTTCAGAAGGAAGATGGTCGTGTGCAAGCTTTCGGCTGGAGTCTGCCTCAAAAGTACAAACAGGTAACTTGGGAATGTGACTCGAGTGTCTAGCAGGAAATACAGGTTGAGAGGAGTATGCTTGGAAAATGTGAACTGAAAATAATATCATAAATTGTTCATTTCAGCCTGCTTGGACTTGGTACATTTAGAAAAATGTGGAGACTAGGTGTTTTCAGGCTATTTTTAGAGCCCTATAATAATAAATAAAACATTCTAGGTCTACACTCCTAAAAGACCTAAAAGCGTTTTTTTATGCAAACATGTACTCATGCACATATGTAATTATGAACTTCTGCCTCCTATTAAACTTACCTACATATTGTCTGTAATTGCTACTTGAGGTTTTACTTATTTTTCAAGTAAGAAAGACAAAATCAGGCTGAACTTGATTTTAGGAGCAAATATGCAACAACCATGCTTACCTGCTTACCTATTCTCAGTGGTTCTGTAAGTTCGGTGTTCATGGAACTTACTAATATGTGTCCCCCTCTATTAGGTGCCCAATGGTCAAGGGGAAAATAAGATGAAAAATCTACCCGTCCCTGTCTATCTCAGACCACTAGACGAGAAAGATGCATCTATGAAGGTAAGCTAATTGTGACACCTTTGACTTCCCAACCTCTAGGTAGATTCCCCCACAAAAAAATATTCAAACTGTGTTTTTATAGTAAAATGATTGCTTATTTTAAAATGTGACAATTTTTTATATTTTTATATTTTTTATTTTTTTATTTTTATATTTTATATTTTGAGACAGAATCTCTATATAATCTAGGATGGTCTTGAACTTTCTTCTGTATTTTGGCCTCAAACCCTTTAACTCTGCTTTATTCTCCTAAGTGCTGTTACTTTAGGCATGTGCTACTATACCCAATGCATAGCATTAAAGTATATTAAAGTACCCATGGTTCTACCTTTAGTTACTTTAAGAAAAGGTGAAAATTTTCTTAGTATTTATAGAGAAAAAAATGACATACTATCTTTCTCTCCCATCCCTACCTCCGAGAAGCTGTGGTGTGCTGTAGGCGTCAATTTATCTGGTGGCAAGACGAGAGACGGTGGTTCTGTTGTTGGGGCAAGTGTATTTTACAAGGATGTTGCTGGTCTGGACACTGAAGGCAGTAAACAGCGAAGTGCATCTCAGAGTAGTTTAGATAAGTTGGATCAAGAACTCAAGGTAAGTATGTACCATATTTGATCTCCTAGTTTGTGAGTGTAGGAGTTCAGCTCTTAAATACAAAACTTATTGAGGCAACTTGTAGTGTTGCCTCAAATAAGTTGCTCTTTTCTGTTACAAGCATGTTTTCTCGCCAGCCTGGTCCAACAGCTGTGTCAGCCCCAAATAACACACAGAGACGCTGTTGGCCAGTTACTAATATTTCTTATTGGGTAGCTCTGTCTTAAATATTAACCCATTTCTATTAATCTAAGTGTTTCCATGTGGTCTTATCTTAACCAGAGAGAGGAGCCAGGCTCTACATCTTGAATCTCCTCTACTACATCTCCCAGAATCTTCCTTGTCTCCTAGTCCCACCTATCTTGCCTTCCTATTGGCCAACAGGGCTTTATTCATTAACCAGTAAGAAAAACATATTTACAAAATGACATCTCCCATCACTTTTCCCCATATATTCCTTTAACATTCATTTTATTGAGGTGTTATTTACATATATTCAAGTGACTACAGTTCCATTTTGCCAAATGAATGAGTCCACTACCACAGTGAAGATACTGACTTTATTTTATCACCAATCTGCTTAACTACTAAGTTTTAGTCTAGTAATACTGATAAGCAAATTATAGTTTGACCCTTCCAAATAAGCTAGAAATAATTTGAAATAATACTGAATTTTAGTGTAAGAACATAGTCTTAAGGGTATTTTCACATTCATATAATTTTAAACATTTTCCTCTGTCTATTCAGGAACAGCAGAAAGAATTAAAAAATCAAGAAGAGTTGTCCAGTCAAGTCTGGATCTGTACCAGCACTCATACAGCTACAAAGGTTATCATCATTGATGCTGTTCAGCCTGGCAACATCCTAGATAGTTTTACTGTTTGCAATTCTCACATTCTGTGCATTGCAAGTGTCCCAGGTAAGTCAAGTTTCTGCCTCCTCCCTCTCGTACTCTCCACACTTCCTTCCAGGTAGAAATGGTGTGTGGCTGATAGATTTGTGCTTCTTTGCTTGCTGTTACAAGTCTTATGTGCTAGTTAAAAGAAGGTTTAAAATAAACTGGAAGCCATTGAATAACAATGTGTTCTTTAACTATTGAAGGATAGTGTGAAGAATATTAAAAAAAAAAAAGTCTCAAAAGACAAAACAAAAAACTTCTTTAAAATAAACTTTAAAGCCAGGTGTCAGTGGCACATGCCTTTAAGCCTTTAATCTAGTACTTGGGAGGCACAAGCAGATGGATCTCTGAGGCCAGACTGGTTTACAGGTCTTCCAGAACAGCACTGGCTATATAGAGAAACCCTGTCTCTGAAAAAAAAGAAAAAAGTAGTAAAGTAAGACATACTATCTTTTGATGTACTAAAAATGAAAATGATTTTTCCATTGTAAATGCTTGATTTGTTTTGTTTTTGAAACAGGGTTTCTCTGTAGCTTTGGAGCCTGTCCTGAAAGTCATTTTGTAGACCAGGCTGGCCTCAAACTCACAAGATCCATCCATATGCCTCTGCCTTCAGAGTATACCACCCACCACCTGGCTAAAAATGATTTCTTTAAATGTATTTTTATTTTCTGTATATGAGTTTATGCCTTTATGTACATTGTGTGCCTGTCTGTTGTCTGTGGAGGCCAAAAGAAGGCATTAGATCCCCCATGGAACTGGAGTTACAGATAGTTGTGAGCTGCCATATGACTGCTGGGAATCCAACCCTGGTCCTCTGCTAGTGCTCTTAACTATTAACCCATCTCCAGCCCCTGCCCTCCAGTGTTTTTTAAAGGAAAAAGTTTTAGTGTGTTTTACTTATTTGTGTGGTAATGGATAGGACATCATACTGCAGTGCCCATTTTGAAGGTCAGGAAATAACTCTGAAGAGTAAGTTCTCTCCTTCCGTGTGGGCATTGGGAACCAAACTGAAGGTCATCAGGCTCAACAGTAGGCACCTGTATCTGCTAAGCCATCTCACTAGCCTTCCCCTTTTCCTGACTTGATATTCAACAGAACTTGTTTTAACCTCCTGTAGCTGCCGAGGAGCTCATTAGCACAAAGGTGACTCAATCTGTTTCTCAAGTTGTACTTTGCCCAATTTCTATTAGTATGAAAAACAATCTTGGGAAGAGTACTTCCAGATCTTTGTTGAAAACAGTGACCTACCTAAGAACTTGCTCTTGTCAAGTGGTAATGCCAGGACTAAAAGAGTTTTTTTTTTATTTTCTTGATCTTATTTGTATGAGTAAATACTGCTGAAACGTGCCCAAATATGAGAACTACTCAGTGAAGTTGGGAGTGTCAGTAAAAAACATAACTGTAGGAGCCAGTGATGTGTCCATGTCAGGTGGAAGGCCAGCCTGACCCTATATAGTGAAATTCTGTCTCAACCTCTTCCCCAAAACAGGGAAAAAATTTTAGATGAAAGTATAAATTAATAAATATACTTAGCAGAGTTAACTTGAATTAATCTGTTTTTGTGTTTGTGGGGAGTGAAGCCAGGATATTAAGTTGAATATGATGCATGATTTCCATTAGTTTTCTGCCCCATTTGTTAACTGATTATATTGTATATTGGCTATATGACCACTAATTAGTTTTCTTTTATACTTTCTGTTACTAATTCCTGAAATATGGAACCCTTTTCAGTCTTGAAAATGTTTGTTTTTATTGTATGTATGTGTGGTGTGTAGAGAGACTGCCTATGACACGGTAGGGTTATAGAGGTCAGAGGATTTATGGAACTGGTTCTCTCCTTCCATCTTAAAATGGTTCCAGGTCAGACTTGGGGCATCAGGCTCGTGCAGCAGGTGCTTTGTCAACTGAGCATCTTGTTATCATCTTTTCTGTTTTGTATTATTATGATTTAGCCACGTGTGGTGGTATATACCTGTAATCCCAGGTTTTAAGAGGTGGAGATAGGAGGATCAGGACTCTAAGGTCAGCCTTAACTACAAAAAGTTCAAGGCCAACGTTGATCAAGTGAGACTTTGTCTCCAAAAATCACACCTCTCATATTGTTGTCTAATGTTTATAAACCCATAGTATAAAAACTTTTAAATTTATTACTGTCTATGGGTGTGCCCCATGCCACGGTGCATATATAGAAACCAAAGGAGAACTTTTGGGAGTTGGTTTTATCTTCCCACTGGTAGGTTATAGGGACCAAACTCAGGTCATGAGGTTTGTGCAGCAGATGCTTTTTTACCTTCTGACCATATTTCCTCCCCTATCTCACTCAAAATAAAACAAAAAAACAGGTATTTGATTAGAATATGAACTAATACAAGTGTTATTTTACCTCTAATTTTTTTTTTATTTTATCAAGATTATTTTAAATAAACTTAACCCTGCCTCTTGGTAGTATATTCTGGTAGCAGTATGTTTCACCTGTGTACTCTCATCTCAGGCCTAGGGTTGCTTTAATAGAAAAAAAGGTGCTGCTTGGTTTACTGGGTATTAAGAGAAAGTTGCTTGTTTTAGGAGCTCGTGAAACAGACTACCCTGCAGGAGAAGAACTTTCTGAATCTGGTCAGGTAGACAAAGCATCGTTGTGTGGAAGTATGACAAGCAACAGCTCTGCAGAGATGGACAGCCTGCTGGGAGGCATCACAGTGGTTGGGTGCTCCACAGAAGGAGTGACAGGAACTGCCACTTCCCCCAGTACCAACAGTGCTTCTCCGGTGATAGAAAAGCCTCCAGGTACACCCGAGGAGAGCCTGAGCCTATCCTGAGAATGTCACATTACAGACTTGTCAACTTCGAAGTAGCCAGGGTGAAAGAGCTGAAAAGAAGGTGCTGTAGTGACTGTGTGAGAGGGGTTCTCCATGTCACTGCAATGCCAAGGAGGGGTCAGTGGAATGGAGTTCTAGACAGGGGTTTATGTGGTGAAAGTATTGGAGTAGAAAAACTCATTCAGCATAGAGTGTTTATGTTTTTATAGAAATGGAAACCGAAAACAGTGAGGTTGATGAAAATGTTCCAACAGCAGAAGAAGCAACTGAAGCCACAGAGGGCAATGCAGGGTCCACTGAAGATGCTGTGGACATCTCCCAACCTGGTGTGTACACAGAACATGTGTTTACAGATCCTCTGGGAGTTCAGATCCCAGAAGACCTCTCCCCAGTGTTTCAATCAAGGTATGCATCCTAAATCAGTAACTTGGAAGAATCTGCACAAATAAAAAGAATCAAAATAGTGTCAGTCAGAATGCCCACTTGATTGTCATTCTTACAGGGAACTGAAAGATGTTTTATTCTCTCCTATTTATTCTCTTTGAAGATTTTCCCATCCATTTCTTAACATTTAAAAAAAGAAACAAACAAAAAAAAAAAAAAAACCAAAAAAAAAACATACCCTTGTCCAAGTCTGCTGGTGTTATTACTGTCTTCATTGTGCTGTTCTGACTTCCATTCTACCAATGACTCTAGTTGTTGGGTCTTTTTTCCCTCCATACTTACTCCCATTCCTTTTATCATCAAAATTAGCCATTGTTTAAATTTGTCATTGTTTTTTTTTTTTTCCCAAAATGAGACGAGGTATCCCTTTTGAATTTTTTTCTCATGCAGATTCTGTTGTTGAAGCCTCTGCTTTAAAGGATTGGTTAATTCAGAGCCATTTAGTACATACTTCGATCCCCTTAGATATAGTTCTTTGTAAACTGGTCTTTTCTGCAATTTATTTTTCTCAGTATATAGAGCAAACAAGAGTTTATTAACATTTTAATTAATTTCAGAATGAAGTCATGTTTTGAATTTGATAGACCAGTTTTATACTATCTATTTACTATGCCCTGACAACCCCAAAGAAGAGGTTTATAAGGAAATATAAACATGTTTTGCTATAATTTATTTTATAAATTTATTATACATTAAAAAATTATACATCAGCTTCCTCTGGGGGTGAGTGGTTTTAAAACAATCTCTCCCTTCTCTGTTCCACCCACCCAGAAAAAAAACTATCAAAAAAAAGTCAAAATAATTAATAACAAAACCATAACTTTTTCTGTCCTGTTTTTGTTTGGTTGGCTTTTGGCTTTTCTTCTTTTTGAGAATTGTGATTAAGGTCTCAGATACTAACTGATGAGTCTTATTACTATATATTACCCCTCCCCCTTACTTTGAACCTTGTTAATATTTCTAGTACAGCTCTTTAACTGCTTCAAGTGTAAGCATTTAACATTGGCTTCTCTGGATTCTCAGTGATTGTTCATTGGGATAAGCTTAAACATAGAACTGTTTATTCCTGAAAACTGAACCTAATATGTATCCTCAGTGTGGGTTTTTTTCCCCTTGTGCTTCATTTTCCCAGTAATGAATCAGATGTGTACAAAGATCAAATATCAGTATTGCCAAATGAGCAAGACCTGGTAAGAGAAGAAGCTCAGAAAATGAGTAGTCTTTTACCAACCATGTGGCTTGGAGCTCAAAATGGCTGGTAAGTACCAGCATCCTAATATGACAATATCCTTAGTCTTCAGCTTCTACGTTTGAAATTTAAAAATGAGCCAGACCTGGTAGTGCAGGTCTGTAATCTCATCACTTGGGAAGTTGTGGAGGAGGATTGCAAGGGCCACAGAACCTTCCATATTAACCATGGCTATGTAGCAAAGTGAGACTCCTCATGAAATCAAAAACCCTAAGCAAAGGATAAATGAAATACAGATGTAAATGAAAAAAATGTAAATAGAAACAAAAAGTGTAGATTAGTACAAAAACTTCATACACACACACACACACACACACACAAAATTTGAAGTTTTTGTTGCAACTTTTGTAAACTAGACTCCCATTAGTTTTAAATGGTAACTTTTCTCTGTGTCACAGAATGTTCTCTTTATGTAATATTCTTAGATGGAAAGGTAAGAAGGATTTTTAAAGCTGAATTTGATAATGGTGGTCCATGCCTATAACCTCAGCACACAGAATGCTGAGACAGGAAGATTATAAATTTTAGGATAGCCTGGCCTAAAACAAGATCCTGTCCCCTCCAAAATACTTAAATCTGGTATAGAATTAAGAATAAATCGGGCAGGAGAGATGGTTCAGAGGTTAAGAGCACTGGCTACTCTACCAAAGGTACTTAGTATAATTGCCAGCAACCACATGGTTGTAATGGGATCTGGTGCCCTCTTCTGGCCTGCAAACAGAAAACGGTATACACACATATATAACAAACAAATAAATAAATAAATTTTAAAAACAACAAAACTCATGCACCATGTGGGGGTGGTGGCACACGCCTTTAATCCCAGCACTCAGGAAAAAGAGGCAGGTGGATCTCTGAGTTCCAGTTCAGTCAGGACTACACAGAGGAGAAACCCTGTCTCAGACAGAGAGAGAGAGGAGAGAGAGAGGAGAATCTGCTCTTACAGAAGATCCAGTTCAGTTCCCAGCACTCACATGACACATGATAACTCACAACTTTCTGTAACTCTGGTTCCAGGCCTCCACAGTTACCAGCCAGGTATGCACATGGTACACAGACATACATGTGGGCAAATACGTACATAACAATTTTTAAAATCTTTTTTAAAAAGGAATAAATCACAAGTTGAAAGTTCAGAGGATGACATAATTTATTCACTTTTTTTTCCCTCTATGTTTCATGTGTATCATATGTAGCATGGCTATCCTGAAACTTGATGTATAAGACCAGGCTGGCCTTAAACTCAGATCTGCCTGCCTCAGCCTCCCAAGTGCTAGGATTAAAGGTGTGGGCCACTATACCTGGCACAGTTTATTCATTTACTAATACTCTTATAGAACAGGGTATTTCCAAAGGTTGAGCAGGGTCACTACATATCTTTTCCATAAGAATCTGACTTAGCCTGCAGGCTATAGTCAGCCACTGTCTGAGGTGAATCACTCTATCATTCAAATTTCAGTGTAATAAAGATGTAGGGTTATTCATGGAAAGGATTTGTGCAGAAATACTAAGGCATAGGGCAACCTAAAGTTAGCTGGTGTCATTGGTTAATACTCTAGTATCAATACTAATTCTAGCTTTTTGGTTTTCATGTTTCTGATTGTGTAAATAGCCTGTTTCTCTGTCTTAGGCACTTGTCTTCTCTTTTCCCTTCCTTCCTCCTCTCTGTTTCTGTCTCTTCCCCTCTTCCTCTCCCCCTCCCTTTCTCTATCCCTTCCTTTTTCTCTTTTCATACAAAAGTATCAAGCCCTTTTCCTAAACATTGAATGGTACCCTGCTTTCCTCTTGGGGGGTGCCTGTAGTCATTGTTAGACAGAAGCGTTGATGATAGCCTGTGCCTTAACAGTCTTGACTTTATTCCTGCAGTTTGTATGTCCATTCATCTGTAGCCCAGTGGAGGAAATGTCTCCATTCCATTAAGCTGAAAGACTCAATTCTGAGTATTGTGTAAGTTGTATTTTTCTAAATTGTTCCTTTTAAAAGTTTTGATTTTTGTATAAAATAGATTATAAGACTATTAAAGTTAGCATGTATCTCATGATAAATCATTATACAAGCTTGATTTATTTGCTTGTTGATTTTAACCATTATCTTAGTTACTTTCCTATTGTTGTAATAAAACACCATGACCAAGGCAACTTACAGAAGGAAGGGTTTATTTGGGCTTATGGTTCCAGAGGGATAAGAATCCATCAGTAAGCAGGCTGGAGCAGGATGCTGAGGGCTCATAGCTTTGATTGTAAGTAGGAAGCAGAGAGAGCAAACTAACAATGATGCAAGTCTTTTGAACTCTGAAAAGCCAGCCTCCAGTGATACACTTCCTCCGCAAGGCCTTACTTCCCAAACAACACTACCAACTAGGGACCAAGTATTCAAATACCTGTGACTATGCATTCAACCCACCACAACTGTTTAAATGAAACTAGAGAAACTGGGTGAAAATGAGATTCTCTAGTGGAAAGAAGACTAGAAAACATGCAAGTAGAAGAGAAAACTATCCAAATTGAATCCTCAGTTTAGTAGTTCTGTATTTGTTTCAGACTGTTTCTCATAGTTTGGGAATACATTGATTGGGTCATTGGTTTGCTAATCCCTTTTCATATGTTGACTGGCAAAGTTCCAACAGTTGGTTCCTAAATCTACTGACTGTGTTAGTTCCAGTCAAGATGTTTGTCTGGTCTGTAGAGTTATGTTGAGGTGTAATGAGATGAGGCACATTGGGCTAGAAAGAAAAACACCTAAGATAATTTCACATGCTATGCATTAATCTCTGTGACATATTTCCATGACAAGATGATGCTCACAGTGAAGACAGGAGCACATTCAAATGCTGTGTCAGTTTCTCATCAGAAACTGGCCCTTTAAGAGGCTCCACACCAGCTCAATAACACATGGTCCATTCTGTGTTCTTAAGTGGAGGTTCTGAAATTCTTCTTCCTATTTACAGACACGTGAAAGGAATTGTCCTAGTGGCCCTGGCTGATGGCACTCTTGCAATCTTCCACAGAGGAGTTGGTGAGTCTTTATAATGTTATACACCAACAGGTTGCTTTACAGAGCATTTTCAAGTAGATTGGCTTACTATATTTGAAAGAAATGATACTTAACGAGAATGAAGTTTTAAGATTGTTGGAATAGTGATGATATGCGTCAGTAAATATATGGATGCCTTTGTGGAGGTATGCACTAGGTGTTCCTGATGGGCAAGTGTGTTTACACAGTAGATGCGTGCACACACACACACACTATTTTTGTGTATATGTTATAATGTGTGTGCATGGGTGTTCCTGTGTGTGAATATGGGCCTGCATGTGCCATAGTGTGTGGTGTGTATGTATAGATCACAGAACAACCTTGTGTTGGTTATTATCTCCTTACCTTGCTTTAGAAAGGGTCTTTTATTATTTACTGATGTGTATGCCAAGCTAGCTGACCTCCAAGTTTCTAGAAATTCTCCTGTTTCCAGTTCCTAGGAGAGCTGAGATAAGAGATACATGCTGCTGTTCCGTTTTACAGAGATTTTGGGAATCTAAGCCCATCTCCTCACATTTACCCAACCAACACTTTATCTACTGAGCCATCTTCCCTGCTCTCTTGATGCCCTTATGTAGTGTAATAAGGCAAAGTTCTTTCATATACTTAATTAGAAAAAAATTTGGCAAGGATAATTTTCTTTTATCCCTTTTTGTTTTATTTTTAAAGATAGAGTCTCACTATGTAGCCCTGGCTAGCCTGGAACTTGCCATATAGATCAGGCTGTCCTTGAATCCACCTGTTTTTGCTTCTTGAGTGTTGGGATTAAAAGGCCATCACACCCAGCCTTATCCTATTTTTAAAAAATAGTTTCCATCTACTTCATTTACGAAAAAATTTGTTATGTTTTGTTTAAGAAGGGTCTTACTCTGTAGCCCAGTTTAGCCAAGAGTTAAAAGTCTTCTTATCTTAGTTTCCCAAGTACTGGAACTATAAATATGTGCCGGAACTATAAATATGTGCCTAACTTTAAAACAATTTTTTTTAGATTTATTTATTTTTTTTTTAGGGAGGTGGGTGTTCAAGACAGGGTTTCTCTGTAGCTTTGGAGGCTGTCCTGGAACTTGCTCAGTACACCAGGCTGGCCTCAAACTCACAGAGATCCACCTGTCTCTGCCTCCTGAGTTTTGGGGTTAAAGGTGTGTGCTACCATCTCCCAGCAGTTTACTTCTTTTTTAATCTATGTGTATGTATGTATGTATGTGCCAGAGGACATCATATACATTGGAACTGTAATTACAGGCAACTGTGAATCATCTGTTGTGGGGGCTAGGAACCAAGCATGGGTCCTCTGCAAGAGTAGTATGTGTTCTTAACATTTCCAGCCCTTAAGCCCCCCCAAATATCTTTCAATTGAATAAAGTTCAGTCATCTTTGATGTTACATTATTTCTTCTCATCTTTCATGTCACATCACTTCTCTGACCACAGGCAGAGACATAGTGACTTGAGAAAAACTGCCTCAAACAGATTGAATTAAGGAAAATATATATCATCATAACTCTTTACTAAATGTGTCATCCAAAATAATTATTCACTCGGTTATTAGATCAAGGAGATATGAAAATATAGACTAATTTGGGTTTTAATGAACCTCTTCTCCTTGTTTGCATATGATGTGTTAGGTAGATGATACTTGGACTCTGTGGACTGATTGATATGTAGGATTGCTTGCTAATGACTCAGAGTCAGCACAGAGAAGGGGCTGTATTTTGCTCTGTTCTGGTCTTCTATAAACTTTTCTATGTTTCAGCTTCACAAGATCTTATGAAGAAGGTTCTGTTGTCATCTTCATTACTTAGATGTGGAAAGATAGGCCAGTATCTTAATCACTTGTTCATAGACCCTTAGTCAGGCAGTGAAGGAGACTAGAAAAAATGAGATAGTAGAAGTTTTGATAAAGAGAATAAAAATTATACTTGTAGAATAAAACAAATTGCATATATAGAGATCAGTACAAAGTCCTCCTATTGGGTTCAAGAGATATCTAAGGGGTCAGCATTATCAAAAACTTCACAAGTCCAGCTTCTAAAATTTTCACTCAGGGTTCAAAAATAGGAACTACAAATAAGTAAAGGAACTAAAATCTGAGGGGAAAAGGAATTGACTCACAATTGCTCCTCTACATGTTCTTTTATTCTTCTTCTGTTCTCCTTCTCTCTTGCTGTTCTGTTTCTCTGTTGTTTTCTGTCTCTGTTTCTTTGTTTCTCCCCAGTTCTTGGGGTAGAGGCATATATGTTTGTAACAATAATTCTTTTTACAGTACAATGTGAGGCTTGAGTTTCTCAGGGTCAGCAAGGCAGATAAGATTTACACACAGAGCAATAAACTAAAACTGCTGAGAAAAACTTTTAGCATCAGTTGCTTAGGGCTGTAGGTTAAAAAGAGGGTCTAAGTTTAATTTGCACAAAAAAAAAAAAAAAAAAAAAAAAACTGGCACCTTCCAGTGCTCTAGACTCAGTTGTGGCGTAGGCCTTCAGGAAAGTTTACTTTTTCCTGAGGATGAGCAAATGGGCTGATTGCCCTTGAATTTATCTTCTCGGGGGAAACAGGCAGGAGCAATAAATCTCTGAGCTAAAAGAGTTAATAAAATAAGAAGTTTAAGAATCTTTTAGTGCAGGGTTAGTTTAGGTTGTCACTTCTCTATCTGCCAGTGAGGTAAAACCAGGGCATGCTTATTTTTTCTATCCACCTAAGTAGCTATGTACTGGTTTCATCCAATCAGCAGAATCCTTAATTCTTCTGAGTTATCTCATAATACGTTGACTGTTTAATTACTGTGTGATGTTGCAGCTTGTAGCATAGAATTACCTGAAGATTGACCATCAGCCCATTAAGACATGATTAACACTTACGTCTCCAGAAACATAGTGTCTATCACAGGCTGGTGATGATCCTTCCTACTAAAGCATATGCAGTGGAAGTCATCAAAGTGGGATTGATGATGGATTTATAAAGGATGATAGGTATAACACACAAAACTGCTTGGTTTGAGGAGACATAGAAAATTGGGTAATGGTAGCTCACACCTTTAATCCCAGCACTTAGTGTTAAAATTTATTTTAAAACTCTGGAAGAAAAGTCACATCATACAACAAGGCTCACATAGGTTTATTTGAAGAAGGGGGTGGGGGGGGACAGAGACTGGTCTATGGGAACAAAGGTGGTGGAAGAGAAATGGGGAGAAGGAAAGAGAGAGAAAAACCGGGGAGGCGATCAAGGCCCACCTTTTAAAAAGGAATGAAGCGAATGTGCACAGGTGGCTGCAGCTGAGAACACATCCTGTCAGGACCCTAAGGGCAGGCCAGTACAGATGCCTGAATAACTAACACTCTAGAGGCAGAGGCAGATGGATCTCTGTGAGTTCGAGGCCAGTTTTGCCTATAGAGTGTGTTCCAGAACAGCCAGATATACACACACACACAAAAAAAAAAAAAAAAAAAAAAAAAACCCTGTTTCCGAAAAGAAAAAAGGAAAAAAAAAAGACAGAAGTGTAACAAAGTCAAAGTCAGGGTTATATGTAATCGGATGTTTGTTCCCTGTCCCACTAGCAACTCCCAAATAAACACACTGAGACAATATTACTTATAAATGCTTGGCCAATAGCTCAGGCTTATTATTAGCTAACTCTTATTTTTAAATTAAACCGTATTTCTATTTATGCTTTGCCACATGGTTTGGTACCTTTTCTCAGTATGACATGCCATCTTGCTCTCTCTGTATCTGCCAGCAACTCTCTGACTCTGCCCTTCCTCTTCCTAGAATTCTCCTAGTCTGGCTCTGGCACTCAATCTCTTCCTGCCCAGATTTTTATTAGTAAATAAGAGTGATAGATATTCATAGTATAGAAAAAGATTGGTCAACAGCAGTTATATTTATTCATTGTCTTGCCATTAGGAAAAAACTATAAACTGATAGCTGATTGTATACATATGCTGTGTCAGCCCTCAATATTTTTGGTTTCAGATTATAAATTAGAAATGTTCAGATTATATGCATAGTTCCTAACATGTTAGCAGTGAGTTGTCTTCAGTTTCTACCTAAAAGATTCAATCGAAGGGCAAGAAAGAGAGATATAATCCCCCAAATAACTCTATCTATTCTTCTTTATATATATTGTGTATATATACATGTTGGTAGAGATTGGACCCAGAGTCATGGATGTGGGGAACAAGTATTGTACTTCTAAGTTATGTTCTAAGCCCTAAGTCCATTCTAATTCTAAAAAGACTATCATTTTCAGATAACCTACAACAAATATGTCACATTACCACTCTTTTTTTTTTTTTTTGAAGCTAGGTCTCACTAAGTATTCTTGGTTTACCTATGACTTCCCAGTTCTGGGATTAAAGGTGTGCACCACCACACCACACTACATTACCACTGTAAAGCATGCTTTAAAGGGAATCCAGTTAGTGGGTGGCAGGTTGGAGTAGGTGTACCTTGTGATCTCTTCTAGCTTTATAACTTATACAGATAAAGGTACACTTAACATGTGGTACTGGAGTGCCTCATCAATAATAACCAGTGTGATTAACTATAATCTACTTCTTGTTTTAAAGATGGACAGTGGGACCTGTCAAACTATCACCTTTTAGACCTTGGACGTCCTCACCATTCCATACGATGCATGACTGTGGTACATGACAAAGTCTGGTGTGGCTATAGGAACAAAATCTATGTGGTTCAGCCAAAGGCTATGAAGATAGAGGCAAGTTAATCTACATTGTGTGTACATATGGAATTGGTATTCCCAAAGACTGGAAGACTAAATATTTCCAGCTTCTTGAGACTGCATTCCAGATCATTGTTTGAAAGCTTCAGATACAGTTTTAGATGTCTTAGTTTTCTCTTTTAGTTTACCTCCCTTGTCATTTTGGACTATGAAAGTAGGAAATGGTGGGGTTTGTTTGTTTTCTCTTTTAGCTGTTGTTGGTCTGGTTTTGTTTTTAAGGACAGAAGATTCACACATAAAGGTTTGTATGGTCTGTATATGTATCCATGTATGGGTATGTACTTTATTTGAATATTTGTTTTTGTTGCTGGGTTTTTTTTTTTTTTTGTTTTGTTTTGTTTTGTTTTGAGAGTGTTTCTCTACATATCACTGGCTATCCTAGGACTCACTGTGTCTACGAGGCTGGCCTCTAACTCAGAGAGCTGCTTGCCTCTGCCTCCTGAGTGCTGGAATTAAAGATTGCATACCATACCAGCCTGAATCTATAGTTCTTGATAGGTCTACTCATATAAGGGTCAGTTGAGAGGATTCCTAAGTTCCTTCTGTGTCTACCCCATCTATATTCAGACTCATTTGCTTATGTATCACAAATTGAGAAATATTACCAGCCTGGTCTACAAGAGCTAGTTCCAGGACAGTCTCCAAAGCCACAGAGAAACCCTGTCTCAAAACATCAAACAAAAAACAATTTCAATAGGAAAATTTTAAGGCAAAATTTCTATTTCTCTCTGCCCCATGTCTTTTTTTTTTTTTTTTTTCCCCTTTAGCAATCTCACAGTTAGACATCATAGCCCATCCCTGTAATCCTAACACTTGGGAGGCTAAGGTAGAAGGATTGTCACAAATCTGAGGCTAACATAGGCTACATATAGCAAGCTACATCTTATCTCAATAGCCACCCCTTCTGCCAACTACATTCCACAAGTAACCATTTGGTGTAGTGAGATATCCATCCACCCCACATAATAGTTTGGTATTTATTTTTCATGACTGTTCCTTATATAATAGTGTGGCTGCCTTTTAGTTTAGTTACCAATAGGATTTTACTTCTCATTGTGCTGTAGCAATGCCAAATCCTAGAATCACCATTTCTGAACACTGATACATAGTGTCACTGGCCAGCATTGTTAAATAAGGAAATATCCTGTATAGTGCTGAAGCCCAACACCACTTGGTTCTGTTGTTCTTGTCTCACTACTGGGAAAGAATCTCATTCTGTCCTTGATCTCACAGCAGCTCTTCTGTCTCATACTTCCAAGTGCTAAGAGTACATGTATCAGCACCATGCCCAAGTACCATTTCATCTTTTGTTCTTATTGCCATATGTATGTGTGTTACATTCTATGGTGGAAGAAGTCATGGAAGATAGATAATTTAGGCCCTTTAGTAAACAGTCTTCAGGGAGCTGGAGAGATGGCTCAGTGGTTCAGAACACTGGCTACTCTTCCAGAGGACCTGACTTCAATTCCCAGCAACCACATGATGGCTCACAACCATCTTTAATGAAATCTGGTGCCCTCCTCTGGCCTGTAGGAATTCATGCAAACAGAACACTGTATACATAATAAATAAATAAATAAATAAATATTTTAAAAATATATTTTTTAAAGCAATCTTCAGATTGTTGGGCAGATTAGCTATTTTAAAATAATTTCTTGTGTGACAAAAGTAATTTCATTAGCTGAGCAGTGGTGGCACAAGCCTTTAGTCCCAGCACTGGGGAAGCACAGATGGATCTTTGTGAGTTCAAGGTCAGCCTGGTCTACAAAGTGAATCCAAGACAGCCTGAGCTATACAGAGAAACCTTGTCTTGAAAAACAACAAAAATAATTTTATTATTAAACTTCTCTTGTAGAAATCATTTGATGCACACCCCAGGAAGGAGAGCCAAGTTCGGCAGCTTGCATGGGTGGGTGATGGTGTGTGGGTCTCCATTCGTTTGGATTCCACGCTCCGTCTCTATCATGCACACACATATCAACATCTCCAGGATGTGGACATTGAACCTTATGTAAGCAAAATGTTAGGTAAGCTTCCAAAGTGTTTTCTTTTCGAAAAACAGTGAGAATGCTTTATTTTTGTTTTATGCAGTGTTGTGGTACTAACTCAGGGTCTTGTGTATACTCAGCATATGGGCTACCACTCATCTATATCTCCATCCTCTTCTAATGCTCTGAGAAATCACTGAATAAGTTACCACATGAATAGTTAACTTTTATCACTGCAAGTAGCAGACAGATGCTCCAATGTATACTATGGTTCTTTTTTTTTGTTGTTTGTTTTAATTTTTATTTTACCTGTCGATCCCAGTGTGTACTGTGGTTCTTGACTATAACTTTTTTGTTTTGTTTTGTTTGTTTTTTGTTTTCAGCTTCTTGTTCCTTATCTCTTTTGATGACTTGGAACTCTGTCAATTTCTTTATCCTGATCACTCTCATCTTAGGCCAGGACTCTGTCCTTTTCCCCTTTAATAACCTTGTTTCCTAACTTGTCTCCCTGTTTCTATTCTACTCCATTCTCTACATAGTAAACAGTGTGTAAAGATTCATGTTGATAGACTTTTGCTCTAGCTTCTAGGCTGGGTGACATTTGGATCATCAGCAGGAGACTTCACATGGTCTAAACTAGCCTCATTGACAGGTTCTCACCCATTTCAGGGCCTTAATATATATTATGTATCCCCTGGCCTAGCCAGTTCTTCATGGTTTTGCTTACTTACTTGCCTCTGCCTCTCAAGAGCTGAGATGAAAGGTGTGCACCATCACACTTAGCCTATCTGTCATCTTCATAGGTTTAGCATTAGTGTAATTGCACCCATAGTATATTATTTCTGTTTATTGTTTGTACCCCAGAGATGAAATCTCAGGAAAGACAGGTTCTGTCTCTGGTGTTGCTCTCTGCTGTATTCTAACAACTAATGTGATGCTGTGTGACAACTAGGGATGTTATAAAGGATTTCCTTCGTGAGGAAAGAGTGACTCCTCTCAATGGTTTGTAACCTTTTAGGGGCCATTGACCAAAGAAGTTACTAGCTATGTGCTCTCTCCCAGCACAGTTTATTTTACTTTGACAATTGGTTAAAGATTCCTAGCTTAGGGATGGAGAGATGGATCAGTGGATACACTTGCTGCTCTTGCACAGGACCTGGGTTTGGTTCCCAAAACCACCACATAGCAATCAGCAAACATCTGTAACTCCAGTTCTAGGGGATCTGATACCCTCTTCTGGCCCTAGCAGGTACCAGGCATAAAAGTGGTACACATATATACATGCAGACAAAACACTCACAAAATAATCTCTAAAAAATATTTTTAAAAAAACAAAACACTTTTTAAAAGGATTCAGCTGGGCACTCACTCGGGAGGCAGAGGCAAGAGGATCTCTGTGAGTTCAAGGCCAGCATGGTCTACAGATCCAGTTCCAGGACAGGCTCCAAAACAATACAGAGAAACCCCATCTCAAAAAACAATCAAACAAAAAAAAAAAAAATGCTTTGATTTTGAGCTGAGCATTATGGGGCCCACCCACAACCCCAGTACTTGTAATCGCACCATTTATGAGGCAAAGGTAGAGGGCTCACAAGGTCAAGATTATCCTTTGCTACATACCTACCTAGGCACATAAAACTTCTCTCTCTCTCTCTCTCTCTCTCACACACACACACACACACACACACACACACACACACACACTCACACGAGTTTGCTTTAATGTATACCTTTCCAGCAAACTTTTCTCTTTGTTGTTTTAAAGCCAGAGACTCCTGGGGATTTGGAATCTGAAATGTTCTAGTTTCTCAATAAACTGTTCTTCCTCTCCTTCCCCTATAGGTACTGGAAAACTGGGCTTCTCTTTTGTGAGGATAACAGCTCTTATGGTGTCTTGCAATCGTTTGTGGGTGGGGACAGGAAATGGTGTCATTATCTCCATCCCATTGACAGAAAGTAAGTATATTTTAAAATAACTGTCACAAGTCAAAGAATTGCAACAAGTAGTGGTACCCAGAATTCAGACTGAAGGAATTGTTTAGATTTTGGCAAGTCTGTGACAACACAGAAATCGGTTTACAAACTACAGAATCAGCTTGTAAGTATCTGAACCCGAGTCCATATTTCAGGGTTCTTACTGGAGGAAAGTCTTTTTCTCAATTCAGAGGTCACAACCCTATTTCATCTTTGAAATAAAATATCCATCTCTCTTCAGCTTTATTATACCAGTATTCAGAAACACTACATTTCATTGATCATAGTTTACACTCTAGCTAATAGTTATGTCTATTCCATTTGTTGTATTTGAGGGTTTTTTTTTTTTTTGTTTCTTTTTTTTTTTTGTTTTTAACTTGTGGGAGAAGCCTCAGGAGATCACTGAGCCTTTTCTTGTACTGAAGACAAGCTGTCTGTTTGAAAGGAATGTGCTTTATTGTTTTGAAGGAAAAAAATGTACATTGTATGTTCCTCATATGATATTCTATTACATTGAAGTGTTTTGGTGTTGCAAAATGCACAGGCAAGGAATTGTTTGGGAGAAGAAAATGCCTGAAGTCTATCAAATAGGTTATAAATTCCCTTGTTCAGTGGAAGGGAAGAAACACCAAAAGGTGAATTTGGATCCCTTTAAAAAAAAAATCTATATTCTCAATCTCCTTGTTTTTGTGCATAGGTCTATATATTCAGAACATGCTTTTCTCTCTCCTTTTTTTTTTTTTTTTTTTTTTTTCTTTTTCTTTTTTGAGGCAGGGTTTCTCTGTAGCTTTGGAGCCTGTACTAAAACTCACTCTATAGATATCAGGCAGGCCTGGAACTCACAGAGATCCATCTGCCTCTGCCTCCCAAGTGCTGGGATTAAAGGTGTGTGCCGCCAACACCCCGCCAGAGTACTGCTTAAAACCTAAGACATTTCAAGAGGTCTGGATTACCTTCTCTCCTTAAAAAGAGTTGCATTTTAGCCTAATTATTTAAAGGTGGTTTCTTGGGGGTAGACTGAGAGAGAATGTTAGTATGCACTCCACATTCATTTTCCATTTCAGTGGAATGGCTTCATGAAATAAGTCATCATTTTTTGAGCAGAGTCATTTGTAGAGGCCTTGGAAATCACATTATTATTTGGTGTTCTGCCAGGTTGGCATAATTTGGTAGGGCCACATAGAAGAAGCTGAGTGGCAGCTCACAGTAACGCTTCTCCTTCCTGTCGTGCACCTCCCCATGTCCCCTCTCCTCCTTTCTCACTTTAGCCGTAATCCTCCACCAGGGACGTTTACTGGGGCTGAGGGGTAAGTGCAGATCCGGAACCAAACTTCTTCCTGGCTTCTTGGAGCCACTGTGAGGCTGTCTCCTCCTCTCTAGAACACCCTCTTGAATGTTGTCAGTGTCACCCACTTGCAGTCACTGCATCGCAGCAGGCCTTTTTGTTTTGTTTTTTTACTTTAAACATTTATTACATAGCCACCAACTGCTCAGCAGCTTAGTCTATTGGTCATCTTTTGTTGCAGCTAAACTTTCTTTCAGACTTGGTTTTCCTTCCAATAAAAACATGAAACATCTCTTAAAACTGTCATTAATCTACATTATTTACTCTTATTACCGATCATGTTTCTTTCATTCACTTACCCGTGGAAGCAGGGGAATTTTGTAAGTCTGGCCATTGTATAGGAATCCAGCAAACCATCGCCAGCCTGGCATAAATGCAAGCTGCTTTATGGTGATGCCTGGGATATTTGAAGCAAAGCTTTCCTACCCCTACCATGGGGAAAATATCAGAAGATGAACTATAAAGATCTTATTTAAGAATATACCTATGTACTTTAGTCTATAATGCTTAATTTCCTTTAATAAGGACTAAAACACAAAACGAAATAGATTTAACTATGATTTAATTCTGTTTTGTTTACTGTGATGGTTTCCTTCATGTTAATAGAAGCTTAGTTATTGCTAGACTGGCAAAATCCCCTACTCCATTACTGAGGTACTTAAAAATAACTAGCATGCTGTATCTCTTTCCAGCTTTGCCTTGAGCTGGCGTTGCTGCACTTATGTTATCTCAGCTGGCTGTAGCTCTTAGATAATATCATAAGGATTAACCAGTAACCTCTGGCATCAGTACTGTTTTCTAGAGGAAAATACTTGCTATTTGGTTTTTCTCTTGCAGCAAATAAAACCTCAGGGGCTCCAGGTAATCGTCCTGGAAGTGTAATCCGTGTATATGGTGATGAAAACAGTGATAAAGTGACTCCAGGGACATTTATACCCTACTGTTCAATGGCACATGCACAGCTTTGTTTCCACGGACATCGGGATGCTGTGAAATTCTTTGTGGCAGTCCCAGGTGAGTTAGATTATTCTGTTGCAATATCCATATGATTATGTCTGTCTTCCTTGTGTTTTACCAACAATATACCCACAATTTCAATACAATACATAAAGAAGTTCTATAATGGAGATGTGATTGTAGTAAAATAGATTACTTGAATGGAGTTACTTTGCAATCCCTCCCCTACTCCCTAAAACAGATATTTTGGAGGTATTGCTTACTTTTGAAAATCAGTGGTAATATTTGTCACAGTATATTAGTCAAAGTAATCATTGACTATATAGTGAATGAGGCCAGCCCAAAACACCAGTTTCCCTACATAACAGACTGGCTTGGAACTCACTGTATAGCTCAGGTTGCTTTTGAGTTTTCATTTCTCCTAACACAACCTCCTAGGTGCTGTATCCTATGTGCATCACCATACCTGGCCCACAGCAGACTGTGTGTGTGTGTTATGTATATTCACATATATATGCATGCCTGTGTGTGAAGGCTGGGGTCAGTGTCAGGTGCTTTCCTTAATTGCTCTCCACCATATTTTTTTGAGAGTCCTTCATTGAATCCAGAACTCACTGATTAGCTAGACTAGCCGGTTGGTGAGCTCCATGAATTACCTGTCTGCACACCCACTATCTGTGTACATATCTGCATCTGCACACTCAGTACCAGTAAGTACTGGGCCCACCTTGCCCAACTTTTTATGTACACACTGGAGATCTAAGCTCAAGTCTTAAGTTGTGCATTGGGCACTATATTTAGTGAGCCACCCCATCCCCCAATGTTGAACTTTCTCATTGCTTATGTGGAAGATTTTTCTTTTGGAGTATAAATCTAAAAGTGGAATTAATAAATCTGTTGTTAATATGCCAATTAGCTATAAAGATGAATGCTTGGCCTTCTTTTGCAGACTCTACTGTAGAATTGTTTCTAGCAGGCTTTATGGATTCCAGAGTAAGCTTGACTAATTCAGTAATGAAGTCCTACAGGGATCCATTATACCACCCCATGCCCACCTGGCACCCCATCTACTTTCAACTAAAATTTTAAGTTTGTAGTGTATCACATCATTGTGTCCTACTAGTTCCTAGAGGCATCTGGTCTATGAGATTTTGCAAAGGACAGCAGATGCTGAAAAAAGTATCCCATAGTCAAAGCTTGCTTTATCCCTTTCTCACACACATATACACACCACCCACAATTCTTGGGATCGGACATTGGCCTCACACATGCTAGGCAAGCACTCTGCTTCTGAGCTATGTCCCCAGCCCACAGTCAAAGCTCTCTAAGAGGAATGTCTTGGAGACTGCAGTTGTTCATAGTGTGAATAGTATGTACAGATTTCTCTCTTCTCTGCCATTTCATTTCAAAGATTCTACCTTAGAATTTGAACTTTAGAACAAATGGCACATTTAGCAGCAATTTTATTTGCATGGTCTATAATAAAAATAAGACATACTTTTCTTAACCATGGAAGAAAAAGACATAAATTTGAAATATTTAAATATTATGACTATTATATTACTTTTCTGTTGCTGTAATAAAATACCATGACCAAGACAACTTATAGAAGAAAGAGTTCTAGAAGGTTGGGGACCATAATAGTAGGGACAGTATGACAGCAGGAAGCTGAGAAATCACAACTTTCCTTCCTTCCTTCCTTCCTTTCATTCATTCATTCTTTCTTTCTTATCTGGTTTTGTTGTTGTTTGTTTGAGACATGATTTCGCTGTGTAGCCCTAGCTGTCGTGAAGTTATGTAGACCAGGCTGGCCTTGAACTCACAGAGATCTTGCTATCTCTGCTTATGAGTACTGGGATTAAAGGCATGTGTCACCATGCTGGACCTCAGATTACATCTTTAACTGCAGCCATGAATCAGAGAAAGTAAGTGGAAAGTAGAGCAAAGCTATGAACTCTCCTACCCCTAGTAAGGTGCTTTCTCTAACAAAGCTACACCACCTTCCTAAATAGTGCCACCACAAATATGCCAATTACTAGGCTCAAGTGGATAATTTTCTGTCTTAAATACAAATGTTTACCTTGAAGAGGGAAACTTTCTATTGTTCCTCAGGTCATAAAGTAGAACAATGTAGTGTGGAGAAGGTAACTAACATCCACCTTACCATACACATGTCCCACACTGGACTTTGAAGATCATCTTTTCCTGTTTACTATGAAATTGGTTTACTCAAGATTTTTAAATTAGGCTCTTAAAAACTTCATGTAATGGTTTTCTGATAATATAAAGCCTCAGTGTTCCTAATACCTTGCTACTATATACTGAAGAAAGGGAGTGGTAAATAAATATTTACCTTTCATTATTTAACTTTTTTGAGGCTGTATTTCACTGCATCCTTAGCAGACCTTAAATTCACTACATTGAGCAGGCTGGCATTCAACTCACAGAAATACTCCTGCCTCTGCTTCCTGAGCCCTTAGATTAAAGGCAACCAGGACATTGCCCAGCTTAACTTTATTGAGTCAAGATATCTTTAGCCTGTACTAGCCTTGAACTCATGACTGTCACACCCTTCCTAGTGCTACAATTACAGTCATGAGTCAACCATTTAACTTTGAAAAGGTAAAGTAAAAAGCTGCATCTGTGATAAGTAACACTCACTGTTCCATTTCTGTATAAAATAGGTCAGGTCATTAGCCCACAAAGTGGTAGTGGTGGAGCAGATCTAATAGCAGACAAAGCAGGGTCATCTGCACAGGAGCCCAGCAGCCAGCCACCCTTGAAGTCTATGCTTGTCATCAGTGGGGGAGAAGGCTACATTGACTTCCGGATGGGTAAGTCTTTGCTTCTGTGAGGTCAGTTTCCAATGTGCTCTGTGAGTTGAGTTTTCACCCACAGTAAATAAGAAATCACTCTGATAATAACTTCTAAACTCTCTATTTTACTTGAAGATATTTTTTCATGTTTTCCTGTCTATACATATAGTATATGTATTTCTTTCACACCAAAAAGTATTCATTTGAAAGAGCATTATAAATTGCAAATGGTTATGTTAAATAAGGTTTGTGTGAAGAGCTGAAGAATTGTAATCATAAGATCTTGAACAAACTATCTACTCTCCCAGAACTTGTTTTCTCACCCACAAAATGAAGAAATAAAAATACTTCATAAAATGTTGTTTATTTTATTTCAAAATTATTTATCTGTTCACTTTCTCACCTTGTGCCTGTCATCTTTAAACTTAAAATGTGGAAACAAATCAATTGCTAGGTTTTTTGTTTGTTTGTGGGGGTTTTTGTTGTTGTTTGTTTTGTTTTCTTGTCTTTTTGAGACAAGGTCTCTCTATTATGCTGTCCTAGAACTGGTTCATGTAGACCAGGCTGTCCTCAGACTCACAGAACTCACCTGCCTCTGTCTCCCAAGCACTGGGATTAAAGGCGCGTGATACCACCGCTGCTTCTTTCTGATAGATTTTATAGAAGAGTACAGAGCTGAGGTTGTTAACAAGTTAAGATGTAAATGCTCTGGTGGAGAGTCGTTGTTCTTCTTATGGTGGGAAGATAAGGTAGATGAGAATGGATGTCAAATAGTAGTAGCAAGGATTACATTAGGACAGGAACTGGTGAGGGTGAAGATTAGTGGTTCCTAGCTTTTTTTTAAAATGGCTTAACTGAGGTGATTTTGTTTCATTTGTTTATGGTATAGGGTTTGTTTGTTTGTTTGTTTTCAGGGTTAGGCATTGAAACTAGGACTTTATGCATGTTAGACAAATATTTTAACAATGAGCATGTCATACCCCCAGCTTACTAAAGACTTTAAAAAGTGAAACCATATTAGTTAAAGAACATCATTTGAAAAGATGAGAGCAGAGAGTATAAATTTCTCTAGAAAGGAAGATGAGGTGAGTTATAGAAGACTTGTCGTATACTGTATATACTTGTGGGTGTTTAGCAGAAAGAAGAAAAAAGATATAGAAAATATTTTCCTAAGTATCTTAGTTTGGGTTTCTATTGTTGTGAAGAGGCACCATGAACACAACAACTGTTGTAAAGGAAAGCACTTAATTGGGGCTGTCTTACAGTACAGAGGTAGCAGGATGCACATGGACAGACATGGTACTGCTAAGAGGCAGAGAGAATAAGCCACTGGGCCTGACTTGAGCATGTGAAATCTCAATGCCCACCCCATGAGACACTTCCTCCAACAAAGTCATACCTCCAATACTACTCCTCATGAGTTGGGGGTGAGGGGGCATTTTCCTTCAGACCACCACACCAAGTAAAATTTGTGCTTATCTTCCAAGCAAAGGAAAATTGCAGGATTTGACATGGAGAAGTAATGTGGTTAGAATTGGGGAGAAGGTATTTAGGTTCAAGATAAGAGATACAGAAATGAGTTAGAAAAAGTAGAGATCTAAGTCAATTGGTGACAGTGGAGACAGAAGGAGCTTGATGAAGAATCAGTCTTCAGCCAGTAGATGTGGAGAGTCATGTGTTCACTCAGTGCACCATCTAAATGGAAGCAGCCTGAAGTCAGGGAAGGAAAACCAAGTGCTCTACAAATAGATGTTGGCGCACTACAAAGAAACACGCTAGTCTAATAAGAGTCTTGTAATTTCATGGTTTCTCAAATAAGCTATTAAATGTTTATAGAGAATGTAATGAAGATATCACAGTAGAAAATGTAGTGTCTTATCAGTGACAGATCGCCACATATGGTCAGTATAAACCAGAACAGGCTGTGAGGCAGAGGTATCAATGTAAAGTTTAGAGATGGTACCAGCAAGAGCAGCAAAGTTTCAAAGCATTTCAGATAATTGAGTACTGGCACAGGAATGTTTTATGGAAAGGAATTGTCGGGATTCTCCTTAGCTAAGGTGATTTTTTTTTTTTTTTAGCTTTTTCTTGGAGTGTATCGTGGCAGTTGGAATCATACTAAAGAATATTCTAGTCAAGTCTGCAGTTTTCCACTAAGTGCTTTCCATTGCAAATTCTGAAAATGGCATAAAAATTGCTTAACCAGATTTGGCCATAGCTCTAGTAATCCAGGCTGGAAAATACACTTGTTTTTTAAGTAAATGCTAATATTAATAATGAATGTGTTGGTTTTAGGAACAAAACATGGTAGGGAACATACACCTTTATTATCAGTACCCTGGGAGGCATAGACAAGTAAGAGCCTGAGCTACATAGTGAGTTCTAGGACATCAGGATACAAAGTGAACCACTGTCTTAAAAAATGAAAACAATAACAACAGAAACACCTTGAATTTAATCTTGCTGCTTTTCTTATTCACTTTTTGTGATGTTTTAACAGTAAGGGATTTATTTATTAGAGTAGTAAAGACTAAACTTAAATTAAAAGATATAGGGACCTTGGGGAACAACAAGTCATCAAAACAGCCCAGAAAGCAAGAAACCATAAATCTTTGTCTCAGCCACTTAGTTTTCACCATTGTAGTTTGCTTTTGTTGTGTTGTTTTTTTGAAATAAGGTTTCACTGTGTGTCCCTGCTGGCTTGCAATTGACTGTCTAGATCAGGTTAGCCTGGAATTCACTGAAGTTTGACCACCTTTGCCTCCCGAGTGCCAGGATTAAAGACATACTCCAAAATACTTGGCTCGTTGTAATTTTTTTTTATTGTTTTTTATTTTATGTGCATTGGTGTTGGGTCCCCTGGAGCTGTAGTTACAGACAGTTGTGAGCTGCCATGTGGGTGCTAGGAATTGAACCCGGATCCTCTGGAAGAGTAGTTAATGCTCCCCGGTAATTTTTTTTAAATTTAAGAGCCAAACTTGAAGAAAGAAGGCAAAGAGACATCTCCCGCGCTCGCCAGGTCTGTGCCACCCGTCCACTAGCTCCCTGCACTAACGCTGCCAACAAGCCGACATGCTGCCGAGATTGGGCGGCCCTGCACTGTCGCTGCCCCTGCTGTGGCTTCTGCTGCTGCTGGGCGCCCAGGTCCTGTTGCACTGGCCCCCAGCCCCACCAGCCCTGCGCTGAGCTGGGGCAAGAACCTGGCTGTGCCTGCTGCTCTATTACCCAGATGCTGAGTTGCTACCCCAGTCCAGGCTCCCAGCTGCCCTTGAAGGCGCTGGTCAGTTGCACTGGTACCTATGAAGAGTCGTGTGGGCCCCACCCCACAGCAGATTGCAGACAATAGTGATGGGAGGCCTCGAGGAGAATCATGTGGATGCGGCCATGAACATGCTGGGAGGTGGGAGCAATGCTGTCCAGAAGCTCCTCAAATCAAGCATAAAGGAGCTGGCTGTGTTCCGAGAGAAGGTCGCGGAACAGCACCGGCAGATGGGCAAAGGCGACAAACACCACCTCAGCCTGGAGGAGCTCAAGAAGCTGCGGCCACCTCCTGTCAGGACATCTTGCCAGCAGGAATTGGACCAAGTCCTGGCCTGGAATGTATCTCCACCATGCGTCTTCCAGATGACCAGGGTCAACTGGAGCACTTTACTCTTACATATTCCCAACTGTGACAAGCATGGCCTGTACTACCTGAAGCAATGCACGGTGTCTCTGAATAGACAACGCGGGGAGTGCTGGTGCTTGAACCCCAATACCGGGAAGCTGATCCAGGGAGTCCCCCCATTCGGGGAGACCCGGAATGCCATCTGTTCTACAGAGAGCTGCAGGAGGCTGGTGGGGCTCATGCCCAGAGGGTGCAGGAAAGCACAGCCAGCCTGTGCCTGGCTTCCATGCCCAAACACCCGCTTGGGTGACGGTGTGGAGTTTTGCCACATGTATTTATATTTGGAAAGACACACACTGAGCTCAGAAGCCCCTGCCCCCTCCCCAGCTGCAAATAACCTGTACCTCCATTCCTACTTGTATTAGGGAGAGGAAGGGTGGCATTGGGGGTGCCAGGGACAGGCTTGGGAATGAGGAAAGACATTTTTATTTTTGAACCCCTGTGCCTCTTTTAGTTAAGATTAAAGAAAGGAAAAATTAAAAAAAAAAAAAAAATGGTGGAGCTCTGGCTGCTCCTTCAGAGGACCCATGTTTATTCCCAACACCCACATGAAGGCTTTCTCCAGTTCCATAGGATCTGACTCCTTCTTCTGGCCTTCATAGACATACAGGCAAAACACCCATACACATAAAATAAAAATAAATAAAACTTTAAAAACCAAAACAAAAAAGCGCCAAACTTATTTTTCTTAAATGTATGGTTATATTTTAGTTAGAGAAACTGACTTTTGACCTGAGGATGCACTCCATATTTTGACATTGCTGTGAAAAAGTCGGCGGGGGTGGGAGAGATGGTAAGAGAAAATGGCTTGCATAGAAAAGTGCATATACTCAGTTACTTCTCTTCCTCTATTTCTAGTCAATGATGCCATTTTCTTCTGCTAAGTTCAAATGGGAGCATTACAAAATCCCAGTGTATCAGTGAAATACCTCTGTTTCTTAGTGTGCACATTTTTAGAATTCCACTGAAGAATTCATCCCACTAAACAAGTTGTCAGCTAGATTGTACCAGAATAACCTTGCTCTGCACAGCAGAGCTGACTCCTGCAAGCTCGTGGACAGGAGCAGCAGTGCCTGTTTGGCACTCAGGGCCTCAGCTGGAGAACTTTACCCCTGGTCACCAAGAATCAGCATGACATCCTGAGCCTTAGTAAGGTCCATATTTGTACTTTCTCAGTTTGAAATAGGAGAGAGTAGAATATCCATTTTAGACAAACAGAAGTGAGCATGTTTCCAATTTCTCATCTCCCGTTTCTGTTACCATTAGTGAACAGACATATTATGGTGACTGTCCAGCATAGTATTGTGAACTAGCTCTCATGAATAAAAGAAAAAAGGGATTCCATAAATGAGGCAGGGCAATGGTTTGAGTGAAGATTCAGACTCTGGTGTTTTTTTGTCATTACAGTGTGTGTGTGTGTGTGTGTGTGTGTGTGTGTATGTGTGTGCATGTGTGTATATATATGCTTGTGTGTGCAAGCATATGCTATATAATATGGAGATCAGAAGACCATTTGCATGAATATGTTATCTCCTTTCATCATGTGGTGGCAAAAGCTTTTACCTACTAAGCCATTTCATTGATTACTGGCTCTTTACTTATTTTTTCATTTTTGTGTGCATGCATTCGTGTGTGTGTGTGTGTGTGTGTGTGTGTGTGTGTGTGTGTGTGTGCGAGCGCGCGCGCACCCCCTTGGAAGTCAGAAGAGGAAATCAGATCCCCTAGATGGTATTGAGCTGCCCAGCATGGGTGCTCAGAACCAAGCTGAGGTTCTCTGGAAGACTACCAAGTACTCTTACTCTTTGAGCCATCTCTCTAGCTCCCTGGTATTCTTTCCTGTGTTCTCTGCACTGGAAATCAGACATATTCATGGGCTAATTATGAGTCCAGTTCTCATCATTCTGTGTTTTCTGCACTTAAGCTAACTTCAGTTTCCTTATGATCCATTAGGTGATGAAGGTGGAGAATCTGAACTTCTTGGAGAGGATCTTCCACTGGAACCTTCCGTCACCAAAGCAGAAAGGAGTCACCTGATAGTGTGGCAAGTGATGTGCGGCAATGAATGAGTCCATAAGAGACAGGTGGAGATGAGGAAGCTGCCTCTTCTGCATGTTTTATTTCCCTTCCCCCTTATTTAATGCTTTTTTTTTTTTTTTTGTGAAAGATGTTTCACTGCATAATATGTGAGCATTTTTTTTCCAGTTACCTTTATATTACAAAATCTGTCTGTCCTATGGTAACAATACAGAGGAAGAGCAAGCTAGTTTACTGCACAGTGTTAATAGGCAATTTCAGTATATCATGAACAAATCAAAGAATGTTTACTTTCTGCAAACTGGTGAATTACAGAAAGCAATCCAGATGTGGTTTTCTCTGCCACAGTAATGTCACTCACGTAATTGATAAGGTCACTTTTTAGCTATCACTAATAATGGAACTAATGGAAAAGACTTAATAAATGAAACTGTACCATGAAGTACAATAGTTTTCCCAATGTATTATAGAACTGACACACTAATAACAGATGGATTATCAAGATTTATAAAACTGTCCCAAGAGGGCTAAAAGCTAACTGTAAATTCCTTTAACTTTCACTTTCAATTCTGACAAATCTTGTTTATATGGTATATAAAACTTTGTTTTCATCAGATTTGGGGGGTTTTATATTAAAGAAATTAAGGCTACACTATTTAAATAAAAATTTTTGTTCCTATCTCATTAGAACTCTAAAGTTTATGAATTCAGCCTGCTTCTCTGCATAGTCTCATTTTTAGACTAGTTTCACCCATTTTCATACTGACATTTAAGAAATGTATTATTTGAAGTTTAGGAAATATTCTGGGAAGCTTAAAGGGCACTTCAATACTGGGAGGATGTTCTAAGACGAAATTGTGTTTTGTACTCCTTGTCCTAGAGGATGGTAGTAGTTGAGTTTTTTCCATTGAAAAAAGGTGCCTGTTAGCCAGATGTTCCTAGGCTGCTCTAACCCTGTTAAGGAGGGCACACTGTGGTGGCTGTGGATTCAACCTCATTAGCTGAGTGCAGAATAATTAAGAAGGCTGATCTATTTTGTCATGTATAAACTAACAAACAGCTAGTGCTTGCTTAGTATCAGTGACACTTCAGCGCTTGCACCCTCGTCAGCTTAAAACACTGTTTTCAAAGGGAAACACTGCAGAGCGAACAAAGCCAGCATTAATCATTTCATTCTCGGCATCCATTTGAAAAAAAGTGGGTTTAAATCTAATTTTAACTGATAACCTTATGAGTTTTCAAAAACCATCATACGATATGTTTTTTCCTCTCTTAAGCTTCGTGAAAATATATGATTTACCATTTCTTACCCCACTGCTACAGGCAAAATTAAACATAATTCTATGTGCCATTTTAAAAATAAAAACATACAAGAAACAGGTCCTCTGGTCATTGGAAGGACCAGACCACTTCATGGACAAGAAATCAAACACAGGTCTCTAATTATCTCAGCATTCTTAGGTAGCAGGGGACTTTTTCCCCCAGACAGTGACACAAAGATATCTATCTGTAAAAAGTATACCAGTGAATTTTTTGCCTATATGTGATTAGGCTAGATCCTAAAACACATGGGACTTAATGAGCATGGGAGGCTTTTGTATCAATAAGCACATTGGGCACACTCTAAAATTGTGGGCCCTGTACATTTTAAAAGAAAAACACCTGTTTTGATAAAGCTGTATAGAGGATAATATTTTGTTTGATCTACACATTCATTTTTCTTCAGAGCTGACCACTTTTCCATAACTTGTTTGCTATATCTTTATTTTAAGTATGAGTCATTTGAGGCAAATACTTTAAAAAGGCTTTTTGGAAATATTATATAAATTCATAAGGAGACACCCAAGTTTTGGGGAGTTTTAATCCCAAGAAGTAAGTGTCCCAGAATCAGATGCCTCACCGTTGTCCAGAATGTTTATGTGGTCCGGTGTAGCTCAGGAAACCAGAAGCTAAAGAAGAAACGTGCAAATGCGTTGTTACCCTGGTTATAATTTTTCTTTGAAACTTAATGACATTAACTTCACTCACAGACTGTAGGTGTGTGGTGATTTTAGCTCAAGATCCCAAATTACTGTGGCCCTGTGGACTAATTTCAAGGACTAGAGAGAGCAGACACACTTGTGCAGCTTGTTTTAAGAGCTGTGCTTATATTTATAATTTTGTTTCTCTTCCTCTTTCCCCCCATAACATATATATTCTTGTGATGTTTATTTTGGTCAAGGGGGTAATCTTTGGAAGAAATACCAGGAAGTAAGCTGCTTGCAAATAGTAAAGGGTATAAACTGTCATAGCCTCCACAAGGCAGAGGAGGCTTGAGTGCCTCTGGGAGGAAGGCAGAGGACTAAGCGTTCTCATTCTGTTACATCTGGGTTATCTATGAGGCTGAACCATATGAAATTACCAATGTGCGACCATTGCTTGTCTATAAAAAGAGCAGCAGCGTATTCTCAGCCTCACACTTACTAGGAATGAAGGTTAAAATCTCTAGGAGGCAAAAAAAAGAGACTGTTTTCTAGAAACTCAGTGTTAAGAGTATTTTTCTCTAACTCATGTAGATCCAAACTGGTCAAATAATAATGACATATCCCTTACAAGTTGCAACTTGCTGGGAGTGTAAGATGTTTGAGCACAAGAATGCAGCACACCACTATTCAGGTGGAATGTGTTTGCAGTAGAAAGGTTGACGTATACTCTCAGTTAAAGCATTGTTCATCTTGTGAATTTGAGAAGAGACCACTTAACATGCAGCCTTTGTAACAAAACAAAATGCCTCATATTAGCCTCAAAAGAATGTGTGTCTTGCAAATGCCATGGAAATGGAGGTTTATTTCCTAGTAAGTATTATGACTATTACCAAAGGACTCGGCCAGATTTAGGGTTCTTCTTAACTGATCATGTTAGGAAAGGGGCTAATGGTGCCCCACTTGAGTGCACGGGAAGAGAAAGATATAAATGTTGAAATCATAAATGCTTTTCTAACAGGGTTGTGCTATTCTGTAACACTAATTGTCTTTTTCTTTCTCTTAAAATGAAGTTTTATTAATAATTTTGTCATATATTTCTCAATATTTGAATATGTTTTAACTGTTTATGTCCTAAATTCTTTTTGTCCTAGACATCAGAACTTTACTTGCCTCTTAAGATTGGGTTCTAGATGCCCCATTTACTGTCTCTTAGAGGCTGAGACTTTGTTTCTATGAGTAAAAAGCTCATTAGCAATGTAGTTATTTCAGTATTTATTTCTATTATGGAATCCCTGGGGTTCAGAATGTAACTTTGTACATGAAATATATATAAATAATGTATATGAAACATGTGTGAGGTCCAGCGTGCTTTTTGTCTTTCTTAGAGCTCTAGACTTGGTTTTTATAAGAAAGTCCACTAATATGTCCCATAATATGTCATTTCTGAGAGCCAAGATTGTTCTTTGGCACTGGCTAAAATTGAGCCATGAAAACATGTCTGTGGCTTATGGTACAGATGATGTATGGCAATGGTCAGGAGGGCATTCCGCTGATAGGTAGGAATGCTGAATAAAACCTGCATTCGGCCTCCTGTGATTGATCACACTCAATGATAAGAGACATGTTGCAAGATGGGGCTTTCTTTTTTTCTTTTTTTGGTTGGGGGGGTAGCTTTTTGTTTTTTGTTTTGTTTTTTTTTGTTGTTGTTGTTGTTGTTGTTGTTGTTGTTGTTTTTTGTATAGCCTTGGCTGTCCTGTAACTCACTATGTAGACCAGGCTAGCCTCAAACTCACAGAGACTCTGGAGTGCTGGGATAAAAGGTGTGTACCACCACTGCCCAGCACAGTGTGGGTTTTAATGACAGGTGCGATTAACTTGTTCAGGGATGTAAGAACATGAATGATTATAAAAGGGATTCATGGCAACACAGTGTAAGTACACATTTAGTGTGTGCCCTTTAGTGTGATCCCAATGTGTTTTAATTATGTTTTCAAAAATGATGAGATTAGGTGTCAGTGATGTGGCATAGTGGATAAAGGTACTCGTCAGTCCCTATAATCTGTCCATATGCTAGAAGGAGAAAGACAACTCCTACAGGTTGTTTTCTGGCCTTGGCATGTATGTATACACACACAGAGGGGGATAGTTTAAAAATTAAAATTTTGGAAATAGTGGGGTTCTTCTTCCCTCTTCCTCCTTGCCTCTACCTCCTGGCAGAAGCTGCCCCTACTTCCACTTCTTAATAATAATAATAATAATAATAATAATAATAATAATGATAATAATAATAACAACCTTTAGCCTTTACGTTTTACTTTATTCTTTTGAAACAGGCTCTCACTTATGTGACCTGGGCTTGCTTGGAACTTGCTGTGTAGATTAGGTAGATTAGGTTGGCTTTGAGCTCACAAAGCAAGAGACATACCTGTTGGCAGGTTCTGGGCCATCCAGAGGGTTGGGTTAGGGAGGGTTGGAATACTTAGAATTAACAGTTTATCTAAAAGACACTAAATGAAAATGATTTAGATCTTTGCCTTTTTTGACTATCCAAAAGCAACATAATAGCTTCCACCCACAGAGATAAAAGAGTTATGATTAGAGTTTGGGCCCTGAAATATGGTAGAACAAAAATACACCCTGACTCTGGGAACAGCAAGCTCAGCTATAAGTTGTAGTTCTCGGACTGTCCAGAAGAGGGAGTGATGGCCTTGGTTTATCCTGGGAGCTACAACACAGTAAGGTTTTCCCTTCTTTCTCACCTCTCAAGTTACCCAGGTGATTTTGATCTTCAAGTTAGTAACATTTGCCTACAAGAATGAGAGCAGCCCAGCTGGAGGCCCAAACATCTTGTTTCCCTGGAGACAAAGCTTCATTCATTCTTGGCCAGTTATGGTCTTTGTGTGGTAACTTTGTGAGGCTTACTCCCACCTCAGCCTCACAGTTTTTTTCCTGATTCAAGGGCAGTTGAAAATTAGGATACTGTAATCTTGCTACTATCTTAAATGGGTAAGCGATATTTCCTCTCATGAGCCTATATTTCCTTGGCAAGACAATTTGTCATAGTTTTCATAAGGGGCCATTAGCTTGTTTGTTTATCTGATGTTTTTTGATTTTTGTTTTGAACTCACAGAGATCCACCTGTCTCTGCCTCCTGAGTGCTGGGATTAAAGGCCCGAGCCACCATCACCTGGCCTGTTAACTTTTCTTGGTCATGCCTAGTGTCATTTTCATAACATCCAAGTATGTGCCCATAAATTCACAGGTGATCTGCAGAGAAGCTCCTGTGGAGAGCATTACTGACCTCATGTGATCCAGAGGCCTAGCCGTAGAAAATTTCTTGCCTTTTGATAGATAGGTCTGACAGATGAGAAGGTTCCTCAGCAGTTGATGAAACCAGATTAACTTGACATGGAGGTTGCTGCACATGTGGGTAAGACCTGCGTTGGCGTCCTGGTCCACAGGTTACCAATTTGTGGCCCTCTCATTGTTATATAACTACTGTGTTCCCTGGCTACACCACCCCATAATTCTTCACTTGACCAAATGAGATAATGATGGTGTACAGTGCAACATACCTCAACCCTGTGGGGCACTCAGAAGTTGGTTTTCGGGGGTCCTATAGGTCAGCTATGTAGATGAGTAAGACACCTCAAGGAGCATAGGTTGATGGGGAAAGCTGACTCAGACAGTGACATGTAATCAAGTATTGTGACTGTACAT